GAAACGGTGAGCAATTCAGGCACCGTGTACTTGGAAAATGGGAGTTTTCGTGAAGTGCACAAGCGCGTTGTTTTGTAGTCTTCACGATTGCACTTGAATATTTTGTGTAAGTTGGATGAATCATTTTGGAAATGTTATAAAATGCCTTACGAATTGGTCAAGGCTCGTAATTCAAGGTATCCTGCAGTGAACTCTTTTGCTCTTGCATGTCCTAATTCTAATTCTGTTCGGTCTTTTTTAACATAATAACGAATGTAACACAAGTAAGCGTTGAATTTTGAACACGACGAATATTTTCACTCAAGTACTTTAATGAATATCTACTTTGTGCTTTCCGGCACTTTCCTGTTTTCGTTTTCCCGAATGGGCTAATGGTCAAATTGGTTTTTTTTTAATTTGTCCAAATGCTCGATTATTGGTCTTGAAAATAACTTCTAATACTCAAATTCTGCACAGTTCAACACTGACTGCATAAAGTAACGTGATACTCTTCTTCACTCTCGTTGTAGTTTTACATTCACTTTTGCTGATTTCGTTGAAATGCTCTCATGCCATGATTATATAGTAAATAGTATGATCCCTTACATACGCTTTCGTGTGGTGTGAATCATAATTTAAATCCATAGATAATTTGCGTACAGGTTCACAGCATTGTTTTATCCCGTTTTATCATCGCTAAAACCCATCAACTATGGGTCCTCTAAACCAGCTGTCTGTTTAATATTTTGTAGTAGTTGACCACGTTTAATTATTATCGCAATTTTTCTAGCTATCAGCCTCTTGCCAACGAATCCAAGCCAGATTTGGCGGTCGGTCACTTCCTTGTCGAAGTCTGCCCTGAAACGCCACATCCGCTTGAAGGAAGACGCCGAAGGTGGTCGTGAAGGGCCACCCATACCACTTTAGCCCAACCAAATACGTCACCTATGCCTTCATTAAGTTGTGCCGAGGCCACGTTTACAAAACCCTTTATTCGACTTCATTGTTTTAATCCATTGAGACTCCATATTGTAATCCTCACTCGTTTTCTTTCTTGGCTCTACTTCTTTTGTTACCTGTGCCACGGAAAAAGGACAATTAAACAATTTCTCCTTATTACACTTGGTTCCGTTTTTTTGCCTACCCGTAGTTTAATGTTGGACTGCCTGCTTGTGCACAAAACGCCCCTTTGTAGAACCATACTGGGCGGTCTCAGCTCGTTTTACTACATGGTTTAGCCCAGTTGGACTTTGCTTATTGACTGGGCCGTCGCTCGTAGCGTACTAAACGAAAAATCAACAAAAATAATTTATTTGGCTTGGTCAGTTTGTATTTAGTGTAAGACTGCTTTCTTACTACACTCAGCTTAACAGAACTCGCTCATACTCTAAATTAAAAATAATGTAATCCTAGCATCTGTACAAAGTTCACGTCCCAGGTCAAAAAGGTGATCCTTCCTCTCGTACGTTTACATTCGTGATAATGTGCCCTTGCCAATGTTTTATTTCAAAGTCCAAGTCTAATGTCGACATAACTGCTCAAACAACGCGTCAACATCCTGGGTTTGTGGTTGTGCGTCTTAGTGATCACCGTTTTCGCAAGTTATCTTTCGCTTAGATCATCCGTGCTACAAAAATTTTGCCATAGTTCTACACCAGTTAAATGTCAGTTTTTGCCTTACTGTACTTCCGTGGTGTCGTGTAGTTTTACATGGCGTGCTGCTAATTCAGTGAAATCGCCAGTGCATATTTCAAGTGTTATTTCCATCTTTTTGTAATAACAAGTCGTAGGTAGGACGGCTCTAAACGTCTAGTCATTCCTTGCCTTCATGTAGCATGTTTGGAAGGCTAGGCACAGTTGTGACTTGAGTTAAAATAGCAGGAACCTCGCACTAGAGCCTGAGTGGCCTAGGTTTCAGCTCGTAAAATGCTTTCGTCAAAGTGATGACGCAACCTGTAAGTTAACCTCGTTGGGTGTTATTTTTGTTACCTATCTGAATTTCTCATGCCTATTCAAGAATCTAAACCAGGTTTCAGCCCATCCATCCTTAAATTTTATGCGCTTTGTCACGTGACGTATTAAATCAACCTGTCTCACTCATTGATTGTGTTTTCAAGTTCAGTTTTGAATTACACAGTTCCCTTTCAAGACATTTACTTTTAAGCGGTTACATTAAACAATGTCCGAGGATTATGTTTAATAGATGTCAAATCTTTTGTAGCCTTGACTTGGTTCTTTTTACCATACATTTTAACCTTCAACTTTTGAGAAGTCAAAATTCTCCGGCCTTCATTTTTGAGGTTGCTTACTTTCTTCAATGAGCTTCGGTCCATAATTTTGTTAGATTCATCAGTCTAGGAGAGACATTGACGCCTTTAATCCCAAAAAAGCTTCGTATGCAGACTTCCCCATTACTGGTTTCATTTTTTACCGAAGATACCTCTTACAGTTTCGAATCTTATCTGATTTGTCACAGTTAACCTATTTGCTATGTGTCAGTTTACTTTTCTGCGTAATAAAAGAGCGGATCCTATGGAGCATGTGTCATCATTTCTCGTTATTCGTTGTTCGAATACGGCACGCGAAAAATCCATTTCCACACGCCATAACCTTGTCACGTGACACTCACGTAAAAGTAGGAATTTAAACTCGGCATGGGTTTTTCTTGATTCCATGCATTAAATGTTACCCCATTATATTTGGTTTGTGGCTCTTCCAGACCATGAGCAGGCAGCGCGAGGAAGCGGACGGTGATAGCTGCACTGAGGACTTCAGTACCCACGATTCCATATCCGAGACCACCGAGGGTGGCTCCTGCAGCAAGACGAAGACTAAAGCTGAAAGTGAGGAATTGGCCAATAGAATGGCGGCAGCTCTTCGTCGAGCTCGTCAAGACGGACTCCCAGACAGTTTGAATAAGAAGCCACCTCTTTCAGCGGCCTTGGCTTATCTGGCGAAGCATAACATCAAGAAGCGGATTCTGCACGTTGGCAATGCTTCCAAAATGCCCGCTGAGTGCAGCGCCCCCGGGGGCGGCATTGCCTATCCCAAACTGACCAAATTCATCTTTGATTACCGCATCAGGGACCCGGATACGCCCGAAGAATTTTTGGACGACACGAAGAAGTACGGGAAATACATGGAGCTGTATTGTGGAAAGGACTTTCAAATTGAGGCAAGTCGTTGTAATTGAGTTTACCGGTCTAAATGTTCCTCCTTATCTTTATACTAATTTCTTGTTAACTATAAGCAAACGTGTCTCGGTTGATATTGTCCAGGTCACCAACGCGTTCCACGAAATTCCTAGTAGCCGATTTGAGTTTTGACCTAAAAAATGAGGTTCGTGAAGCAAGTGTTCGTTGTGCTTTATTGCGCTGGACTTGAAACTGATGCGTAAATTTCTAAATTCGTGCTACATCACGGCCAATTTCGAAAACTTAGTATTTAATCTGAGCACTGGCATTGGAAATGTAAAAAATGAAGTTGCGTGGTAGCAGATCTTTTAATATCCGAACTAGCAATTATTGGGTTCAATTGTCGTCCATTGCAATTGGCTTGTCATGTGTAACACCGAGCCATGCACGATCTCTTGTGCCAGACTGAATCCAAGTATCCGGGCAACGCCCCTTAAATATCGTAATTGTAAGCACTCCTTTGATTACATGGGATCTGCAAATCCTGCATTACTAGAGACGAGGTCACCGTAGCATCGTAGAGAATGCTCGACATCCTAAACATGCGTACTTCCATTTTGTCCTTCACTTCTCACTGCATTCTCATCACCTCCTGCATAACATTTAATCTAATCCAAAGTTAAATCACCGCAAATGGCCTTCAGGAAACTCATCAAGCTTAAATGTGCTGGAACTATGCCCGGCTATGTGCTTAGGCGTGTAAATGGGTCTTTGCTGTTTGCGCTTGGACGGTTGGCCTTCTTGTCAAGACGACTTCAATGTTCTCTAAGTTGTTCATTTTTGTCGTAAGAGGCCACATCGTCAAATTAACCATCACAATAACGCTGGCTCATTCATCTCTGGGAATTCTTACTCTTCACATGTGTCGCGTCATTTGATGTTTTACTGAAACAGCAAGCCCGTTTAAAATTAGTCTGACTTGACTATCTGCACCAACCACCTACTGAGACAGCGACATCGTATAACTCTTTGAATATTCGGACTTTGCGCTTTCCCTCTCTGCACGTCTGTGATTTCTGTGCATCACTTTGAACCTTTTGGCATACCTTGTCACCCGCGGCTCGTCTCACCGGTTGTGTGCTTTAAGAACTGGGGCTGGTGGCAGCAAATATTTTCAAATCTTGATTCGTTTTATCCTCTCGCCTGCACTTAGTCCAAGTAACCCTGTAAACATTTCATCACGTGGTCTATCAGATTAAACGTGGCTGGCTTATCCTGACATTTACCATTCAACCTGAACTTCGGTTCCGGACATAAAACGATATTTTAAAAGTAACTTCTCGTGTAAGTAGATGTCATGTTGGATTTAGATGACGCGTAGGATTGATACCTAAGATTAATTAATTACAGGCTTGGTCCAAATAATCAAGGTCTTTTCGAAGAGGAGTGTCTTCAGTGTTGATTCACGTAACCTTTGGGTGTTTTTTTTTAAAACGCTACATCCCTGCTCTTTACCACGCACCGCCCTAGAAGGTCGCAGGTGATGGCAGCACTGGTGTTTCGTTGCTTTTTTGGCCCGAGAAAGCAATACATAGGACTTTGAGTAATCTAACATGAGAGCAACTAACGTGTGCAAGCTTTTTAGGGCACATCTCGTGCAGCGATTACAAACACTAGTAGATGTTTCCGGGTTTGCCAAAAACATTTGTTACTGTAATCATTTAGAAGACTTAAAATACTCTCGTTGCACATGTTAGGTACATCTTTACTATATGTTATACGAGAAGTCCTCCACGAGTCAGTCCTCACGATCTGCAGTTCATGGCGTTTGTGCGACAGTGGCAATCGCTAGTCCGTGTTTTGTCGCTCTGACCAATGCTTATAACGAACACCTACCGGAATCCCTTATCTCCGGCTGCAGCTAGGCAAGTGTACATCATCAGTTAGTTTCTGTGGCAAGTGGCAGATGACATTTCTGGATATTACCTCCAAGGTTGTTCGTGTGACAAAAGTGGAAACCGAGTTTATGTGGTCTCACCAGAAATCCGTCTATGTCGTCCTCTGTTGCATAACGCAGATCATGCACAATTCTGGTTATTGTAAAGGTGTGTGCCATAGTGATCCTGCAACTCATAGTTAACGGAAAGGCCCTAATATAAAGAGGAGCATGGAAAAAACGGTCGAATTGTTGTCTGTGCTTTTCAGTTTTGGGAATACTGTCTTCAGACTATGGTAATTGGCGAAGTGGCCTCCTTCATGGTCCCTCCACGTCAACTTATTTCCTTCCCTGCCGTGAACAAAAAACTTCGCGACTACATGCTCGACAAGACCGGTCCTAGGGGCTCAAGTAATGCTCCCAAGCACTCTTGTGCTTTCATGAGTTTGCAGGCACAAGGTGGGCTCGGCTATGCGGATCTCGACGACCTCATTACGAATCCCCGGATGTTGGAGTTCATATTTGATTTGCATTCGTAAGTTCCCCTTTGCTGGGTGGTTCGCACATTTTTTCTATTGAGGAGTTTTCAATTCCCAACTTTTTTTCTGTTAATATAACTCGTCAATGCCAAAGCACTGTTGTCTATTAGGTAAGTAAAAACTGTTTCAACTTAAGTATGTCGTATTATGAACAGTTGTAGCGCTTTTTGGGTTGACTTTAAAAAAGGAACGCCATGCTTTGTGTTTTATACTAAAGCGCGCTCATCTGTTCTCGTTGCGTTTTGTCTGTAAGGCAGGATGTCACGTAAATAATTGTCTTTTTTATTTGGTAACTATTTCCGGCATTTATCTTCGAACTCCACTTTCTTAAAACGACCGCACATCTTTTGGCAAGTGTGACGCTTCTCTAATCTTTTAAATACAATTTATTGCTTCGTTTCCTTTCAAATGTTTGCGGCATACGATATCGAACTCATACACTGACTAGTGTTAATTTCAAAATGCCACCACCGGTAAACTGCTAAAATTTTGGTATTTCTAAGTTATGGCGTGCCTTTTGTCCTCCAACAAGCGCAGAGTACATTATTCGATAAGCCGCAATATATGACCGGAATTCGTTTTTGGTGATTTTAACTTTTTACCAAACTCGTGTAGAAACCAAGAGACTGTTATTCAATTTTGCAGGGCCACGTAATCACTTCAATTGTTAAATACCGATTAACGTAACTCACATACCAATTTTCATTTGAAATTACCAATTAGTACGCAGAAATAACACAAAAATCACTTGTTTCTTCTGGCAGCACGCCAGTTAACTTGAGGTTGCCCAATATTCGTGTTCCACTTGCCGGAATGTTAGCATACATTTCCAGTAAACGCACAATGTGTTTATGCGAATTGAGGACCGATTATTGACTTTTTAGTCTGTCTCAGAACCCACATTCAGATGTAAGCTGCTAATTATGCTTCGAGTCTTATATGCAGCAGTTTTTTTTCTGCATTTCTCGACGTATAAACGGCTGTAACTTTCAAGCACTAAATTATTCTGTACTTTTAACTACTATTAGTGTTGAGCAATCAATAATAATTTTTGTCTGTCATAGAATAGTTGGGCATTTAAGAATGCCTAAGTTTAAATTGCTCGAAATTGGACACGAGGTCGACATAACTACATAGCACTACTCGGCTACTCACCAGAGAAATGACCAAAAATGTTGTTAATACAATGTTGTTTTGTTTAATCAATCGTGCACATTCGACATCTTTCCCACTATGGGCTTGCAGTTTTCCTTTTTAATAATTTTAGAGTTGTTCTACCAAACGAAGCTAAAAAGGAAAGTTGGGTAATGACTGCAGAGGAGAAGGCAGAAGCGATACCAAACCTTCGAACTGAAGGAAATGAACTGTACGCTTCAGGTCATTGGTTTGAAGCTGCTGCTAAGTATGAGGAAGCTCTTAACCTCATCGAACAACTTGCTCTGTCGGAAAAGCCTGGCGACGCTGAATACATTCGTTTGGATAACATGCGCGTCCCCTTTTACGTGAATATGGCTCAGTGTCAATTCAAATTAAAGGATTATTACGGAGCAATACGGAGTACCACCGAAGCTCTATCCCGAGACAAGGACAACTTGAAGGCACTTTTTCGACGGGCACAGGCTTACTCGGCTACTTCCGATGTTGACCTTGCAGAAGCCGACTTCTTACGAGTCAAGCAACTTGCCCCGGATACGATGGCGGTCAGCGTCGACCGTGAATTGGCCCACTTGGCGAATATTTGCAGGGAATGTAAAAAGCAGGAGAGGAGATTACTCGCGGGCAAACTGTTCACCCAGTCTTGAAATTTAGGAATTGACCTTGTTTTGTTTGTCAAATTGTATCTATTTAATTAAATTCTTTCGACAACGCCACGGTAGAGCAGAAAGACATAGTGGGACTTTCCGACGTCTGTTATACACCGCATACAGTGATCCCAGCATGTATTTTCACCACAGCTTAATTTACCAGGGGTGTATGGTGACCCAACCTACACCAAAGAAGCTGAGATGACACTCAGCACCGACAACCGCCCCTAGCACCAGCTACAGGCCCAATGGTGCACCCCCTCGGCCTACTTCACCGAGGCGACTCAGACCCAATGTCATAATTTGTCCTTTGAGGAGCACTGGATGTGGCGACCAGCCCCACTTTTACTTCTGGCAAATAGAGATTAATGTAAAGCACCCGTCCAAAAGACAAAAAAGCCCCACCCGGCCCATTAGGATGACCCCATAAACAACAGCAGACTTTGTACAAATAGGGAGTTTATCGTTTCATGTATGTACATTAATCTGAACAAAGTAATCACACCTAGTCATCTTCGGCGCCTTCTGGGGGTCTACGAGCAGCACTAAACGGGGAGACTGCTCTTTTTGATGGCCTATGAGAATTACGGTCGTTATGGCGACTATGGCGATCACGATGTTTTCGTGAATGGGAATGAGATCGTGAGCGGTCACGACGTCTTTTGTCATTGTGACTGGACCGGTGGCGACTCCCACTACGGTGATGCCTATCCTTATGTCTTGAGGACCTAAAAAAAGGTCGAAGTTTTTAAGCACAATAATGGGGTGTCAACTTTCATCATAAAGCATTACCAGCAACGTCAGTTACCTTCCAGTCACTGTCCGGCCTACTACGAACGCACAGGTGCTTTAATACCCGCAACGTCTGAAAAGCCCTCGCAGGAAAGTTTAGTCAACTGATTACAAGACAAGTTTGTTTAAATAATTTAGAATACCTTGGATTAGGAGACGTCTCCATTTCTGGATTGTGCATAAGGTCTAACGGATAGTGTATGACTAGACAAATACCTGAGGACAAGTCCAACGATACAATCATCCAGGAGAACGAACACCAAGTCTGTCGTTTTAGAGGAGATGACGAGTAATAATTTCCAACTTACCTACGATCCTTGCTCCTGTCACGGCTACGACGGCGTTCACGCTGGCGAGAGGCTCTGGCCTCTCGTTCCTTTTCTCTTTCTCTGAGGCGTTTTTCCCCGTACTCCCTAACGTAATCTCGTATCTTTGCATATCCAAGGTGCATTTTTCCGGCAAGGTGTTCCTCCACTCGTTGAGGCGCATCGTCTTTTATTCGAAAGGCACCACAAATCTCACATACCTCCAACTCCTTAGACTATGATTAGTTAATGCTATAAAACCAGAGTTACCTGACCGGCACCGGGTCGCGCATCACCTTCTAACTGAGATCTTTCAAACTTTAACTGCTCACAGAGTTTAAGAACACCTTGAGCCTGATCAACATTGCCTTCGGTACCCAATTGTTCGGCCTGCTCAACGAGATCATTAATTCTTCTTGTCAGAGATGCTATTTTATCAGCCTTCTCAGCAGCGGCTTCGGGATCAGCGGGCGCAACACTCTTACTCACCGATAGACGCTCGTGTCCGCGACGGATGCGCTTGTCGACATCCTCAAGAAGGTAACAGAGATATCGGTAGAACTCCTCTTCGTAACCCATCTTTTCGAAGCGACTACTCTTTTTATAATTTTCTCGCAGCCGTTCATCGTGCATCTTGTCACACGGCCCCAAGTCAGTTTTCGTATTGACAAACAGATCATGAGGACAAAACCCGCATAAGAACGATTTGCACATGTCCTCATCTGACCAGTGAGGACCCTTCATCGCGTCACTGTCAACTGCATCGCGATTTTTTCCCAGCAACTCGTCCAACAAAGCGGCTTGAGATGCCAAGGCCATCGTCGTCAAACACAAGACTAGGGGAAACGAAACCGAATTCAATGGATTTCCAAACAGCCCAACAAAACAAATTGATCATTTTTACAACTAAGTTAAGTTTAAGTCAACTCCTAAATTTAAGACTCCTGCATTAATATGAACATAAAAATTTAATTGTCTTATTCACTAACGTAAAGAATATAAATTTCGCATTTATTTATTTCATTTTATAAACAGCCGGAAGGGACTGAGCTAGTGTTCTTGGCACTACAGAGTAGAACGAACGTGAGGAAATCAGCAGCATGCCTATCTTGCGACACATTTTGACGTAGCGTATGGTGTGATTTTGCTTTCATTGAAAAGACGGCATTTATTTTTGTCAAGTTGCCCATGTTAAGACAGCGTTGCCACGTAGCTTATTTTTGCACAGATGATCACTAATCGTAGTTACTATGGCATAATTTTGGGCATTAAAAAATGCGTATTCAAAATAATATGTCTAAACCATAGAAATGTTTACTGTAAATTTACGTCATAACAGTTAATTTCATGGTCATTTTACCACACATTATAATTGCTTCTGCCACAGTCTCCATATTTAGACACAACTGCAGCCTAACTGGGCATGTACCATCCTAAGAAAAGAGAGATATATGTAGTGTGTTTAGTGTTTAAAAACAAAGACGAAATATGAAGATATTTGGTAATAACTGAAACAGGTAGTGCAGGCTGCCAGTGCATAAATTGTTTTTGATAGGCAATGTGGATTCTATTTGGCGTTTTTAATCGATTCGTAAGTCTGCCTGATGACTTGAATGCGTGACTGTATCCTGGACAAAAAAAATCCTTAATCAAAAACGATCTTTAGTAAATATCTTCTTTACAATAACATTTGCATAAGTATTATCCATTCAATACTGACACATTATTCACTGATGTCATGACGAGCATCCATCGAACTTTCATCTAAGCATAATCTAGTATATGGAAATTGATCTTACTTACATTCATTTAAAATCCAAGATAGACATTTTTTAAGCCTGGAGCTCCACTGTATTATGCAGCCAGATGTGCAGAATGAGTTGGCAAAAGTAAACTAGTATTTTAGTCTTTTTTGTCTTTTTAGTTGACTTAGCTTCAAATCTGGGAGCTGAAATCTGTTACTTGCAACAAGAATGCAGTAAACTACGGCAATCAAAAGTAAATAAATGGCAGCAAAATTTTTCGGCAAACATTGGTGGCAAACAGCTGAGATGCTGCATATCGTAACCAAAAGGAATTTATATAAAGAGATACGTTCAGTGTTGGTCGTCGGTGTAGTGAAGTATTGAATTTGTAGTTTAGTTAAGCTGAAATTTGAATGAAGAACAATGATCTGAATAGGAAAATATTGGTACGCTCACAAAATATAGCAAAAATTGATAAAAGAATAATAAATGCAGCCTTAAGATTTCAGAATTAGATGCATCCTTTTTAGGATTCATATTCATATTAGCACAAAAATATTAAGACATTTTATTAAAAGGTGTTATTTTAAGAAGCACTTAACAGCTTCCCAGCAGCTTTGAAAAAGAATTTATGGAATCTGAAATATTTTTTTTTACCTCAGCACCACTCGTTAAAAGTAGCTATGTCTTAAGTCGATAACATCCAGATGTGAATCATTTGTGTTCGATCAAACCTTAACACTGGCTAAAAAATTTATTAATGGATTATTTATGTCAATCGCTGATTCACGCGGTTCAATGTTTAGTAAGCTCCATGATATAGCCTGCGTGTTATTGTAATAATTGCTGCTTTGCAAAATGTCATGATGCATATTAACTGATGTGTGAACAATGACCCTTTTGTCAGCATATACTACTAGTCTGTAATTTTATGGCGCAACAGGTTAGTTTTTTACTTTTATCATTTACTTGAAAGCTTTTTTCAAAAACTCAATAACTTAAAGGTATGCAACTTATGCTTTTGTTTGCCTTTTTTATCTAAAGTAAGACGTTTGCAAATAATACGCAGCTACTGACGAACCAACGTTGTGAGAATTATCCGCTGGACCGATTTTTACAGCCGTTCCATTTATTTAGCATCGATAATTGCCACGAGAGCAACTAGGAATGTGGCCAGAGTTAATTTTGTATGTTAAACGACCACAATTAGTGTTTTGTAAAGTGTTGATTTAATTCTAATTAATAGCATCAGTTGTAGCAGCAGTTTGTCAGTTTATTTAATTTTTGGTGTGCATTTAAACATATCAAATTCAAAACATGATTGTCGAGGGCTGAGATCAAATGCATGTCAAGGCTTCCCATTTGCTTCTTCCACTAACCGAAAATTTTTTGCTTCCGCATTTTATGTGGTATTGTTAGCCTTCTAGCATTATTTACGAGCTACACAGATCTTCTTGATTTGTTTTAAGTACACTCCTCGGCGCGCTTCTCGTCCAGTTATCGTGATCTTTTGAGGAATGGCGTCCCATCTTAACTGGATGCTTATTAAGAATACGCATTGTTTTCTTATGAAGCGAAATGGGGAACAGTTTAGCCGTGACCCTCTTAATCTGAAAGGGAAGAACTGTTTTAAATACAATGGGCTTGTCCACAAGAAAGCAATTGGCATTAAGCAGGAACGTGGAGGCAAGGGTGTGTATTTCATTACAAAGAAGGCGGGCTATGACCACAAGCCAAGACAGGCTATTGTAAGGACAAAGTTCGTTCGTGGTGATCGTCGAACCCTTCAAAAAATTCGCAACTTTGTTTGCAGAATGAAGTACCGCCGGGAATTAAAGATGGTAAGTTAAATTTGGTTTCCACTATCTTCTTAGCTTGCCTTAAGAAAAGCCAGTGCTGTCTTAAAAAGTAACAAGAAAAAGCAAGCAGGCTCAACATCACAGACAAAGAAGAACTAATTTTTTATGAATAAACATTTGGCGGTTAAAAGTATTTCTGCTGATTAGGTCTCGCTGGGACCGTCGTGCTGGGCAATTTCTTCAAAACTATTCACATGTCTTTGCGCTGTATGTTTCAAATGACGCATTCGTTTTATTCATTGCAGTAGTTTCGTTATACGCCCTTGGTACTGTTACTTTAGCCACTTCCCATGAAATCCATACCTTTCGTGAATGGATTTATCAATGTGTGCTTTAGTTCTGTAGGTTATTCGGCCCTATGTGTGCCATCCCTTAGTCCAGGTCGTCAGTTTTAAATGGCCTTTGGTTCCTGGGTCAATCTTGGTTATTCGCTTTGGTCCACCATCGCGCAGGTGTGGCCGAAGCCCTCTTTTTGACCGACCCCCGTGTCTATTTTTGCTCCAGTTTCGCTCCATGCTAAAAGTGAATTGCCGCCTCTTGAGCAGATTTTTATTAAAAGAACAGCGAAATCGAAATGGCCTCTACTTAAGTGCCTCACTTATTTGGCATCGCCAATGTTTATTCACCATGTTAGGTGATGACTATCACCAGCAAGGCTTGATTGATTGTTGCGGGACCTAATTATCCGGTTTTTAAGGTGCTACGAAAAGCCTGCTGTGACGCTGATTTGTTCTTGCGGCTTACTAGTCGCATTTTTGATTGTGAAGATGTAGTCTCCAGTGCTGGCGCCAAACTGGTTTAACAACTTATTAGATGCGCTATGACTATAGGAGCTCGTTTGTCAACTGAGGTCACAGCTGCTAAGAACAATGCCAGTTTATTAATGAAGCCAGGAAAAGGAATAAGGAAGAAAGTAAAAAATAGTACAATGGGTGACGCAAATGGCTTTAAGCAACCAAGTTATTTGCGGGTGTTAGGTTCCTTTCATAAATGAAACTGCTTGTTTGTAAGTACGTCACGAAGGTTCTTAGAAATCATAGGGCACAGATCCCCCACGGTTGACTCATCAATTGCAGCAAAACAAAGTCGAACCTGATTCCAAAACACCTGCCCGTGTGAGGAAATTTCTTCGTAAGTGAATCCATGCAGAGAAACGGCTGCGTGGCACTTCACTTCCGAATTGCTCACGGAGGGAATTCTGTCATGGAAATCGTATTCATCCGAATACCGAGGAGAGTCGTAGTCACTAGAGTTGTGTGTGTCAGATCGTGAACGCCCTCCCTCATCCGAACTTAGCCAAAAATCCCTGGCGTCCAATGCAGTTTGGTTGCCACCGTCTGAAAGGCCCAGTGGCCCAAGATGGATGCCCCCACGGGTCACAAAAGTTAATTGATCAATAAGCCAGCCATGTCGAATTATTGCACCGACGATTATATCATCCTCGGGTACAGCCACTGTCAGGCTAAAATGAATTACAGTAATTTTAAAAAGTTGCCGAGTTTTCTACGTTTCATCATTTGCAAAGGTTAAGGTTGTGGAAAGCGGCGCACCTTCCCCAAGTAATTCGTGCAGTGTTTTTGACAAATGATCGGTTTTGAAAAGCTGAAATATTAAACACGACGCGTATCAAACGCCATTAATGGGATTAATCGGTTTAGATAATTCGACGTATTCGCATAAAGTATGACCATGTCTTAAATATACTCACGTCGTGTGGTCACCTTCTTGTCGACCGCCCCAGGTCACGGTTTCTTCAACTCCCGTCCTGAAGTTCCGGTATGTGACATCTAGCCCTAGGAATTTATACAAAGGTGATTTCCTTTTAACGGTTTCAGAGCGATCATGGAATCCAAGCCATGTTGCATGGGCACCTAATTTCCCAATATCTGCATCGCACGTACACGAAATTTAGTTTCATGATACGTTTTAAAGTTAGAACATTTGGTCTTTCTAGCAGCAAATAAAGTTTTTAGTTAAGGAATGAAAGTCATAAATGTGAAGCATGGACTCATTCTTTTTCCTAAGGTAAAAGACCAAGACGCAAATCCAAAAAAATATTGTAGGTGTAGATTCTAAAACAAAGACAGCACTAAGGAAACCTCTTGCTTGTTCCACCGTAGGGAACTCAGTCGTGAAAAGTGCAACGCGGTAAGTAAAATCTCAATTATGACATAGAAAAGTGAGGAAAGTCAAAGTTTTGTTCAAGACATAAGTGATACCAATAACCTGGAGTAGTGTTTTGTGAAGAAAGGGGATCCGATTGGAAAACCTGACCAGCGAATATTTTATAGTGGCAAGAAAATGAAGAGGGCTGATTTGTGTGTTTGTGATAGCTACCATTTTCGGATAATGATAAGCAAGTGTGTGGATGGAGGGAAGCCTGAAACCACGACAACTCAATGTCTGACAAACATAACTGTTCTGCCCGCTGCGTCGCAATGTGCGTGAAATTCCTATACAGATACCAATGGTCTGGCATACACAACTTAGGTTGGTGTTTCCAATTGCTAGTGTTCAATCTCATCAAGTGAAACTAAAAAGTGGGGTACAGCAGTATACTCAGCAATGAATTCATAGTTTTCGTTATGATGTACGATAGGCAGGCAGCGAGGATGCTTTATACATTGTATTTACATTTGAACTTATGTTTCGTCAATGTATGCTGACATGATGATTACTGGCGTCTTAAAGTAGTCCAATACAATGCGAGCGTCAATACTTTGCGCCTTCTTCTTTTGTAAATAGAACTTAGCGTAACATTCGTGATAATGAAGGAGTCTAATTTGAATATGTTTAACGAATACCAAAATACGTCATTCAATAGATTTTTATTCAGTTTTTCGTATGAATTCCGAGGCAGTGCTTTCAGAGTAATAACTCTTCGTACCTACTATCCCGGTAAAACCGCTTAATTGCCCGAGGTACCAAACCATGCATAGAGGGAAAATCGGAAAAGAGGCAACTAAATATCAAATAAGCTATTGTAAATTAAGTTCTAACAAAAGTTATGTTACAGTAAAGTTTGACGAAAGAAGCCATAGTCATTTCAACAAATGTTACGCATACGTGAAGTTAAAATTTGGTATAAAACGCCAAAGTTGGAGCGAAAAAAAACCGGTGTTACCTGCAAGTGGTTGTCGTCCATCCCAGTTAATTGCAACATAGCCCTTAAGGGCAGAGATCTTCCACGAATCAGGCGGATGCATCTCATGTGTCGAGTGATTTTGTGGAAACGCGGAAAAACTATTTTACGTGATCTTTACTTAAAATAAATATTCCTACTTGTAGTTGCTGAAATAGTCAGCGTGAGAGCCAAAGGAAGAGGATGCTGTAGGTAACAAGTACAAGGGAGCTGCAGAGATCGCATGAAGCAAAATTACACCACGTACCAAACATGGATTTCTGCGGCACAGACTTTACTGACAGCAGAGTGGCTTCCTCAGGAACTTTATGAACTTCACAGAACTTTTTCACAAACTAAAAGAATGCAAAAAATTAGCCCAACAAACCTCAGTGAACTGTTTCACATAGGCCTGTCCGAAAAAGACATTTCCTTCGGCATCATGCATCCAAAGCTTTCCTTCCTTGAGCAGAGTGACCACATTTTCTAGGGACAATTTTGCGAGACACTTTTCATCTTAAGCAAAAAATGCGACATGGATTTTTGAACAGGAGGCCATAAATAAGATCGTTAATATAACCTAATAATACAACGTAAAACTTATTGGCCATATGACAGGCCCAGAGCATTTTCACAAGCTTTATTAAATACTACCAGCTGGGAGTAAAGAAGATTGCGACCATGACATTTTACATTAGCAAAATTTACTTAGTAAGAGCTAGTTAAAAACCTCAAAGGCTGTCAAACGGAATTTAGACCGAGGAATGTAAGTAAAGAGGTAAAGTAACAAATGATATATAAAATAAGACATACGAATGAATGTGAATGGCTGAAATGCGAAGTATTCAATCATATAATGTTGGATCTCTTCTGTCTTACAAGTCGATAGTACATCAGTGAACAAGGCCTGTAATCCTAAAATCGCCTCGTCACTGAGTTTGCCAACGGAAGCAGTCTCAATCAATAGATCTCGCAGAGCCAATGCACATGTAGTAATTCCAAGCGGCATGTCAAATAATTCACACAACTGAATGTATCGCTGTAGAGTTACACCCTGTTCAAAATCTCCGTTATAAGCCAGGTACAAAATATGTCGAAGATCAGAAGCTGATGAAGTCAGAGAAGACGGAACACGTATGCACAGTTTGTGCTCACCCGAAAATGGTTGTGCTGACATTAGTTGACGAAGACAATTAGATAACGCACATATTGAATAATGAGCGCAGACACGTTCTTCGTTTTCTTCCGAACCAATAACCAAGGTTACGTTAGTTAACTTCCCTGATTGATAAAAATCAAAGAGTTTGCTGTAGCAACTCCGCAGATGTTCGTACTTTGTATCGCTTTTTGCAGACATAACAAAGTTATGAAAATATAAAAAAACACGATCCTAAAAATTGAGGTTCCAAAGTGAACACTTTACTCTCAAAAAGTAGCCGCGGAAATTCACAAAAGAGCCGACAGGAGGGGATGACTAAAAGAGTTAAATAGAATCAACTCCCCTTTGTATTTATACATACGAATAATTATCAGCTTATTAAAAATCTACATTATGAGATTTTATTTCAACCAGGTTGTAGTTATTATAGATATTCTTCCAGCCCCCTTCAGAATTTGTTGTTATTGTAGGGCTGAAAAGTGAACTGATTACTACTTCTGCCAACATTACTTTAAATCGATTTTTCCGGTTACTTAATTAAAAAATTCTCTAGGTATAAAAACCATTCTACTCCTTCTAAAGGAGCCTGAAGCATGTTCGTCAGTGACAACCCTGCCAGCTGACGGTCCTTTACAACCTGAGAAGAATGGCACGACTAAGGATGGCAAATATAATGACTTTTTTGCATTTGACCTCCAGGGGGTTTCATAGCAGAGCACGCAAGTGATTATATAAAGTCAATTCTAACTGACAATCGATGGCAATCAACTCGTATATTAGAATAACGCAGGCTCTTTTAATTTATCTCCACAATAAGCCCATTGGTAAATGGTTGATTGCATCCATACAATAAATTCATCTATTGATCCACTTTTGTGATAGTTTCTCAAAAGCTAATTTACTTATAAGCTTTTCATGCCAATTTTAGGCTACTGCCAAGATGTCATATCGACACTGGCACTAAGGCTAGAATAACCACTTACTTGTTTGACGATTGTTTAAAACCCGCGTCTTTGCGGAGGTAGAAAGCTACCTTGAGAAAGTGCCTTTAAAGATGCACTACATGCAGATAAATTTGCATGTTTTTCAAGAACAGATAGCTTAAATCTATGGTCATATTGATATTTAAAATTGCTTTAATGAGCGAGAACTTTTCTCTTTATTATATCTCAGCAAAGATGTCCTTACCACGCACTCTGTCGTGGTTCCTAGTTCATCTGCCTCTTGTTTTTACCGGCCCTCAAAAACCTTTATCCCTTTAGTAAATGAGCTTTAGTAATGTTCAAGTATTTAATGTGTTTCACTCCCAATGCACTCGAGAAGGAATAGTTATGGTTAATTATTGGCAGACGTTCATGAATGAAACTTGTCCACAGGTTAATTGACGTCTTTGGCTTCAAGAGTTGTAGTTTGCAAATGTTTAATCGTTTGAGTAGGCCACTTGCCGCGACATACGAAAATCTTCTGACAATCGTAAATGATAGTTTTTTCATCGCCTGTCAGTGCACCGTTCTTCGAGTGCTTGGGCATATAAGGAAGAGAATGCAAACATTATTGTATCGCGTACATCATTATTCGCTCCGTCGTCTTTAAGCCACTGCGGAACATTATCATGTAAATGCATTAATCCCCAGCGCAATACTTGGAATCAATCTAGAATACCAATTCAGTTATTAATGCTCTCGCATTTGATCTATTCTAAACGTTTTCTGAACAAAATAACCAAGTTCATCGTTTTGTATTTGACTGCAGAAACTGACAATTTTGTGAAAAAACGTAAAGAGAAAATTACAGATAAAGCCTAACAGAAATCTACTTAGGTTACCCTGACGATATTGTTATAAATGCGCAATTAATCTCATTTACGAAGCATATTGAGCATCCAAAAGCTAGCAATGGGAGTCACAAATTTTATATTACCGCGAGTGTGTAAAAGCGCATTTGGGTGCAATTGATAGCAGTAGAGTGATTTAGAAAAAAAAACTAAACGAATTCAAATATATTGTGAGATTTCATAATTAGACTTCAGCGATTATTGCAAGAAATTTAAATGACACAAGTCTCAATGTTTAATTTATCAGCTTAGAGCATTTGCAAATGATTCTTTTTAAAATTAGAAAAAAATTAGGGATTAAGTTTTCCTGAACTGCATTTTAATATGCAAATAATACTATGTCAGATCAATATTTTTGACGGATCTTAACCTTTACAAACACTGGACATTCAAAAGATATCTAATGTCACTAAGTAAGTTCGAATATTTCCATTATTGATTCCAATACATTTTAGAGGGAGGTTTAATAATGGTGAAAATTTGAGCAATCACATCTGGCGGCACAGTTGAGAATATTTGTAATTGCGAGACACTTGATTGATCATTTGATGTTCTTGTCATATATTGATCAAGCTTCAGTTTTTCAATGTTATTTTTAGAGAATTTCGCGCTTTATTTAATGTAATTTAGACGTTTGGATGCTGGGATACAAACTTGTGCTGCATAATTATTAACTTGTATTTTTCTACCTTTTTACAGCTTATTTATAAAAGCGATTTTTTTATGTAGGTCATGCGGTATTTGTAAAATTAGGATAAGCCTGTGCGGGTTTTTATTTGCCATCTCTCTCCTGTCAACTTTTCTTGTTTTTATTTGCTGTATGGATGTAATTGGCTAAGCTGTACTATTTTAATTTATGTGATTTGTCTACAGTTGTGATGGTTCCCGAAGTCGATGTCGATCTTTATGCCTATCTAGGTCTTACGTATGAAAGTTCAATTAAGGAGATCAAAAGGGCTTATAAAGTGAAAGCGAAGGAATTGCACCCAGATAAGAATAAAAATGATCCTAGAGCAAGTATGTAAGCTTTTTCATAATATTATATTTTCAGAGGAAAAGTTCCAAAAGCTTAAGGAATATTACGATATCCTGTTGGACCCAGCACAGAAAGTACGCCAGTTTGGCTTTTAAATTTCTTAGAGTCAATATGACCTCAAAATTAAAGCCCGAGTAGCAGCTGCAAAGCGACATTCTGAGCTTGATGACGAACGCCGACGATTAAGGGATGGTATGATTGTCAATATTGTTATTCCTTTTTAAACTAGTATCTTATTTGTACGTTTAGTCCTTGAAGCACGAGAGAAAGAGGCCGCTTTTCGCCGTGCTGAAGCCCTCAAAATAATCGAACGGGAAAAGGTTGCAGAACGCTTTCGGAACGAATGGGTGGCTTCAAAGGAAGCAGCCATCTATGCTGCTAGACGCGAACATGCAAAGAATGCAAAAAGTACATTAGGTACCTCTGGATGTCATACCGTTGTTAGGGTAGGTCGCAACTCATTTCCAGTATTTGGTAAATGGCTTTCCTAAATGTTAATTCGGTTTTTGTTGAATTGTTATATTTTTTTATGTTTATACAAGTGCACTGCAAAGCTTTTCGGTAGGTGTCGTGCATATCAGAATTCATTGAGTTGCTACCTAAGCTACCGACTTATGTGTAATTGAGTGTTTGTTTACATTAGTGGCAGGGTAAGAATATACACACCTTTTAAGTGTAGCTAATTGCATTGTAGGCTTTTAAAATCCATGGCTTAAACGCTCGGAAAAGCCGCGAGCTTGTGATCTCATTGACAAAAGGGGTTTACAGTCTGCCATCTGTTTTTAGGAATTGACATATTTTTTTGAGAAGCATCTGTCCCTAATTGATTATTATATTGTTTATTGCTAATATGTTTGCATTGTCTGTCTTAGTGTTTAATATCGAGTCGTTGAAATCTAATTTGTATTCTTAACCTGTTTGATAAAAAAGAACATGTTCCAGTTTTAATGTCGTGGGTGTTGGTGAAAAAAAAAATAGTGTCAAACGTTAACCTAGAACCATCTGTAATCTGTTTAGTGAATATGTAGTAACGGAAAAATCTGGAGATGATTGTTTTCTCGCTATCTACTTAAATTTATGGTTTTGCTGTATGGAGCTACCAAAACTTATATGAGACTGTTTTAAAGACATTGGTGACTGAAAACCCACATTTCTGCCATTTCTTTAGCATCCACTAGTAGAAACCTTGTGAATATTCACCCATGCAACGCTTCTTGCATGCTTGCATCACTCGTATTATATGTCCCATGTCTTTTAGATAAAGTGGAAAAGGAAAGAGGGAAATGAAACTTACGACAAGGAGTTCCTGCACACCTGCCTTAGTGAGGTAATTTGTAACATTTGTAGTATATGTGTTGATTTCAGTAATGCTGACTTGATTTCACTTTTAGTTTGGAACTGTTTCGAATCTAGTTCTCGGGAAAAAAAACAGTGCAGTGGCGGAGTTTTCTTCAGAACAAGAGGCGGTATGCTGACTTGATTATTATCTCAGTCTACTATATTCTATCTTACACTTGAGAGTCGAGCTATTTGAACATTTAAAATAAGTGTAAGCTTTGTCTTTAAGGCTTTTCAAGTAAAAATCTCGGCTCTCCGTGTTATCCTAACTACTGTTCTTCTGGCTTGCTTTGCAGGAAGCTTCCATTAGAACAGCGTCTTTCAGAGCTATTGGATTCCCTGATAATCCACTAACAATACACTGGGCTGGTGACTATCCACTCTTTGAGAAGCCAACAGAAACTGATGCAATGTTACATCCTCGACCCTCATCACCTCTTCATCAGAAATGTGATAATGTGAGTTAAATTCACAAATGCAACCTGCAGTTCTATCTGAGGTTTTCTCTAGTTTTGTAAATTGATTAGTTTGCCATAAAACACATTTGTATAATAAACCCGTCTTATTTCTATTAGGTGTGTCATCTCGTTTACTACTATGTAAGACAACCTAATATTGAGTTAAATCTGCCACGTATTCGACTGCGTAGAATAGAATCATTTCCTTTATAACCGAGGCAGAAGTCCGCTCAAATTTTATTATGTTCAAAATGAAGTATATTTTCTTTTTTCTTCGCTCTTGATAGTGTGCTAATTCGATAGTTGATTCAAACCTAGAACACTTTGTACCTTTTAGAAAATCACTGCTGAAATATTTTTGATAGTCCTATTTTTTCGATGTCAGCCTAAATTAACCTGAAACATCTAACTCTTCGTTTTCTTTTCAGGTGTCCTTTGAAAATTTTGAGTCTGATATTCTGGCGAAAATGGCCCGTTTTGAGTAGCTCTGCTTGCCTCACATTACCCTTGTAAATACGTTTCAATTACATATTTTATGTCGTTACTCTTTTTCGCATTTTCTGCTGTGCGTCGCTAAATGCATTTTCATCGCAAATTTTAAACGATGACGGATACTGTAGTCCGCGGAGAGACGGTACACTCGCACCGTAGATTAAACTTATGGCAGGCGGTGGAACATTCTTCAAACCATTTTCCAATGTATATAAAATACATTCTGCCCTCTTTTGGTTATATCGTCACATTTTTTTGTATTACTATCTTGATTGTATTGTGTTTGTTCCTCCCATTCTTCGGTGCACAGGGGTGAGATGTTGGTCATTTGTTGTGGTCGATAGGCTATTGGAGTGATTAGGTAAAGGTCGGTAAGCTTCCCTTGGAATAGCTAGCGCTGGCCCCTTAGTTCTTGAGAAGCTTTTGTGACGAGGTTTATGCAAAGCAATACATTTGGGTTGTCAAGGTCTGTTGAAGTTGGTGGAAAACTGCGAATGTTGTAGAATGCTCGAGCATTTGTAAGAAGATGGGTTATCCAAGAAAAGCTCTATTGACACCACAAATTAGAACTGTCCGTCAGCCACCACACTGTTGTGAATCGTGTTTATTCACACCCCTTAATCCTGTCGCTCCACCTCCGACACAGGGTTCCCCTTTTCGCAGCATGTCGCCAGCCGCGCTGATCCTCAACTCCTCCCTCATTTACACGGATATTTCTCTTGGATTATTTTCACACGGAGGTCTCGATGTTAGCGCATGTATGACTCACACCCGAGGTATAAATACACACGCGCAAACCCCGCACAGGACACAGCGACACCAACGGAGTTGAGCTCTGAAGTAAACGGTTGTGTCCACGTCCTCTCCTATATTTTTCTTCATCGCGGGTAGCAGGGAATCGTAATCGGGCTCTGATTAATTCCGTGGCCCCGGCGTGGTTCAAGACCACATGCTGGGGCCCACGACAACACTATATGTGTCTTCAAATCCATTCTCTCCGTGTATTGTGGCGTCGGATCAGGGCGCAGACATGTTGGGCCACCTGGCCTCAGCCAATCCCGTGTCTCTCTGCGATCCAATGGCATGCGGGAAAGGAAGGCAGTCAACCGGAGAAAGACACGACTGAGGAGCAGTATATAATGAGCGGCATGACCAGTGTGGTGGACTCGGATGGAAGGCGCCTGACGCGTGGCTCTGGCTTCTGATTGGTCAATAAAGCCTGTTCTGTTGTACCGGTCTTTACCTATTTGGGCTCGGGTATACAGTAGTGACGTACCATGGCGCAGACATATTGGACCACGACGAGCTCAGCCAATACTCCATCTTTGTGTGTTTTACTGGCCTGCGAGGAAGATTTGCGGTCAACCAGACACAAGGATGGATGCGAAGCGGTACATAATGAGCGACGTAGAAAGCACGGAGGATCCAGATGGGTAATGCTTGATATGCAGATCTGACTTGTGATTGATCAATGAAGCCTGTTATGTTGTACCAATCTTGTTTACACTTTTGTTCTGGTATTCTACATCTGCTTGACTGCTGGCCTTCCTCGCAAGCTATTCAAACTCACAGAAGCAGGATTGGCTGAACTGGCGTGATCCAATGTGGTTGGGGCCTACACTGGCCTTTCAAAGTTTCATAACCCGCTTTGATGTTTAACCGGAGACTCCACAAGCTGTAAAACATGTCACAACATGAAGCAAGTAGTAGAACTGTAACTTGTCCAAATGGATTTGAATGTAATGGAAAGATTACATATGTATTCGTCTGTGTTGCTTCCAGGCGGTGTTTCTTGATGTTCGGGACAAGGTCACCGAAGGTGTCTACTCGTCATTGTCATAGCCTTGGGTGCAACCGTGAATTTGCCTTCTAGGAGGGCGTTATTGGCAAAATGTGCGATTTCGTGTAGCTCTTTTGATACCCCGCTAGAACTGTCCCTGAGTGACATTTATGTCAAGTGTCAGAACTGAATTTGCATTTGGAACTTACGGTTATTAATTTATTTGTCGTCGTAGTAAGTCTCAATGCGTTTTTGCAACGCTGCTTTGCTCTCTTCGCCAGATGCCTCTTGTATTTTAGCACGCTGTTGAATACGGATTTTGTTCAGGATTATCCGAGTAAATTATAGGAGTTCTGAATGCAGGATATTTCTGAGTAACTTCCATAAACGAGTCTCATCCGTGGTCTAATATATGCTACCTTTCGTGGTAGAAGTTTTCAGTGCAGTGTCTCGTACACAGTCACTCGATGAAGCATTTGCCAAACACTTTGCCCAATAAAAATATAACATTCCAGTTGTTCATCAAAGCACTTCACCTATTTAGTAAGAACAGCTGCAGTCTTGTTGCCCCTGTCGAGAATTCTCTTACGTTTCTACAAAGTTTAACATGTTTTAGGTCGATAACTTACATTAATAGGTGTGCTGGATTTAACGGGAGGTAATTCAACTGTCGTTGCTCAAGGTACTCACAAAATTCCCTGGTGTGTGGGGTGATGACCGGCACATGGAGGAGGCAGACATTCAAATAAAACAGCGGAAATTTGATAGGTGAACTGAAGTAAAGCAAAGGTTGTTGTGAGGGAGGAATATGTGGAACCTTTGTTGTGTTTCGTGGTGCATTTTGTCACAGTGAATACACACATATTATGGAATGACGTGGAGGTTTTTTGGACGATTGATCTTAAGAGATAAGGGGTAAGGGAGCAGACTGTTTCAATCTATAAACTACCAACGAGGGGTAGTAATGCTAGCAAATATAAGAAAAAACGGCATTTTGAAGAGTGGACGATGGTTTCCGTGAAATAAAATGCGAAAGTGATTTGTGACAAGTGGCATTTAGTAAAACGGGCAAAAGTGATCAATTCGGGTAGTCAACGATTTTGTTCTTGGAATACCTGACACCGACTTCGTAAAAAAACAGTTTTATTTTTCAACGTGTCAGCCTAAACACATGTTGCTAAACGTTAAATGGCTCATCTCTGCAAACTTCGATGCATTTAATCCACTTTGGCACAAAATTTACTTCTCTCTGCATCAGATGTAGGATGGTTAAAAATGGCAAACTGCAGGAAACATACTTTCTGAGTGTAGAGATTAAAAAAACAAGGCACCCTTCCTTTTTAAGAAATTTATTTGCCAAATTTTTGCGGCAAAAAATCTCCAAAGAGGTGTTTTCCAACGTTTGTTTTTTTATTATGGTTTGGGTCACTGAAAAATGAACACTTCAAATGCATGGGAAAGTTGAAAATTTGCCAGCATGATTTGTGCTTAACACGTTGTAGTGAGGTGTAAATATGTCAAACCAATGCGCTTTATGCTGTTGTGAATCGCGTTGACACACATTTGTTAGCCCGATCACACAAGCCTCAGACACAGGGTCCGTCTTTTCGCAGCATGTTGCCGGGCTCGCAGATCCTAAACTCCTCCTCATTAGCGCGAAAGATTATCGTAGAACATCTATGACGCACATATCTGAGGTATAAATACACACGCGCAAACCCCATGTCCTCTTCGGTCTTCTTCGGTTTTGCTGGTAGCAGAGAAGAGTAATCGGACTAGATCCAAATCAGTGGCCCCAGCGTGGCTCAGGACCAGAAGAGGTGAAATATTGATCATTTTGATAAAATTAGTGGCCGTGACTTGAGTATCGAACCATCGCAATCTGGAGCATATTCCTGGACATCACGTAAAAGAATGGACTATTAAAAATGAGGTATTTAAATGTTGTAGAAAAACTGTTAACTGTCATGTTTTCGGATTGAAAAAGAAAATCCTCACCAACCCCATAGTTTTACTCAAGGATCTGAAGACCTGCGATAAAACAATATCATTAGGTAAGGAGATGGAGTGAAAAATGCCTAGTGCCCGTGTTGTAAACATTTAGTTTTCACAATAACTTTGGTATCAAGCTGGATAGACACGCCGAATCCACAGAGAAAAGATGTATTGGAAAGTTAGAAAAACGTACGCGTTTTTACCACATTGTACACTGTAAAGAGCGTATAATATGAGCGACGTTCGCCAATTAAGAAAGCCGAAATCATTTATCAGTAAGGATCAGAATTGTAACAACGAATAAATCAAGACTAAAACGCAAAAAATCCACACGTTCATTTTGAATAAAGATTCTTGAACGATTTGTCTTAGAATAGTTTTTAACTGACAATATCTTGAGATATTTGAAAAAAAAGATACGAGCTAACTGCATTACAATAATGTTTCTTCGTAACACTAAAAGAACCCGAGGAAAAATAAGGGTGCAGGAAGACAACACGATGGGGTTGACAGGACTGCGTACTCGTTCGTGCATGAGCAGCAGGCATATTTGCTTACGCATAGAGCTTTATCACTACCTTGACAAAGTTTGTGGTCTTGGCAACAAATTCACTCGGGCAACACATTAAAAGTGGTGGCGGGTTTTAAATACAGTTTTCTAGGTCTTGTGTTAAATGTGTATAACTACAAGATCATTTTCTTATTAACATGTTGGGGATCTACGATACCCCAAGATTGCTCATCGTCGGCTCTATCTACACTAACTCCCTAACATGCTTTTGTTTACACTTTTTATCAGGTCAGGCTCAACCTTGACTTGAATTAGTGTACGCTTTGGACAACTCACTCCACACGTGGCTGATGCCATTAAAACTCTACACGAGTTCGGGTCTTGTTCCTGTATTAGCGTAGAAAGATCGGTGCTAGCGTCAACAAGGGTTCTGGTACCGTTATTTGAGTGGCTATCTCGTTTGTTATGGGCAAACGCAACATAATAACAAGTTAATTAATGCTCATCAGTCTGTTTTACACAATTATACGTAACCCAATTTTGAATAACCTTGAATTGGGGTAATTCAAACAATAACAACCATGAAATCGCTAAGCTACATGAAGAGCCGTGAGAATTTGTCTTGAGATCTACAGTTCACGAAAACATCAAATCAGACTCACAGAATTTGATTAGTTTTCGTCTCAAAATGCCGACTTTTGATCTGGCATTGTTAGATTGTTAATCAGAATTGTAATACATTAACATCGCTACTACTATCTTAAAACGCATCCAGTACTAAAATTGAAACTAACGTTGCCTCAGTGTGTAAATTCGATTGATTAGGAAATTGGCTAATTTGATGACCTAAAATTCCATAGATATTTCCATTGACGGTTTGAAATAAAACCCTATCGTGAGGCTTAAATATAAATTATTAAGTCCAAATTAATTGCGCATTTCCTCTAATGATGTCTGTAATATTATTTCAACCAATTTTATTGTGTGATGTCAAATTAGGCTGTTTGATTTTTTCAATTTATACAATAGATTACATACAATTTAAGAAAGCACACAGATTCCATAGACTTCAAAATCAAATTTGTAGGTTCCTTTTTTCAGTTTTATTGTGCATTATCAGTTAACCTCTTGGCGTTTGGTAGCAGGAATGAAATATTTACAACTCGCTTTAGTTAAATTTGAAAGCGGCAAAAATCTCCAGGTAATTATATATTCCTGATTTAGCACTAACTACGTCGTCATCATTTATGTGTCACTATTTCCCGTAAAACACAGCTGTTATGGATCTTATAACACTAAGTAACTGGAATAGCAGTGAAAATACATTTATAGCAATGCACTTATATTATTTTTACTGGAGCAGAGTGATATTTGTAAACAAGGAATATATGCATTTTAGCTGGAGATGGTACCAAATGAGATTGGTATGAAAACCTTGATAGTGGGAAAATGACGCTATCAATTCAATGTGTAGTGATAATTAAGCGTAGTCATTAGCATTTCCTTGAAAACAGTTGGCGTATAAGTAAATAATTCGAATTCAAAATCGGATTATAACAAATAAGATTAAATTCAACATATTAACGAATTACGATGACAACACAGAAAATAAGATGTCAAACTTTCCATTGATCTGGATTTATTTAATTATTTGCTACAAAATTCGAGTGTGAAAAAAAACAGAAAACATTTTTATAGGATTTCTGATTGCTTTTGGTGAGTGATTTTGGGATTTCTATAGCATTTCGGAGACTGGGAATGGCTGCAACTTATGACATGTAAAAACGTTGATTTGCCACGTCTTAGTGTTTATACGATGAAGTGAAGGTCACATTTTACAAGTGTTCGAGTTGAATTTGGGGGTAATTCTTTTGCCGCTGCTTGTATCCTTCAATCAAACACCGATAGTGCCGTGATACTTATGTATTTATACATTTTTTTTATTGAAAATGGGTTATGCTGTCTTGTGTGGTCATTTATCTCGAGTAAAGTTAACGGATGTTGCCTCAGTTTTAGTTTTGCTTATTTGCGTTCACTTTAGCGTCTCGATGTTATTCCTTTTGGTGTCTATTTTTGTACTCGATTGCGTAAACGTTGTGCTCTTTTGTTATTCTTAAAAGTAAATAGGTGCTAGTAAGCATTGGCAACTCAGGTAGCGTGTAGAATAAAATATTTTGGCCATAAAAGTTGCAATATTTGTGAAAGTATTTATGTGAAGAACAAAGTTTATTATATACCTGAACTAATCTATCTTTGCTAATTTAAAAAAAAGCTAAAGATATTTAGGGATTTAAGCGTGCATTTTTCGCGTATTCCATTCTGAGTTTATTCGTAGTCCTTATGGTTTCAAATCAGCCAAAAATTTAACGTACGGTTCTTGGTGATCATAGCCTTACTAGAAATAAAATTAATTGATTATTATGCGTTTATAGCATTACCATAGGAACAATCGGCTTAAAACATGGAATACATCGAACTCTTAATTACCTACAAAATTACCTAAGTCTTTAATCGGTAGCCAAGCTATTGTTACTATTTAATCTGTCAGGGGCTGTTTAGTCGAACATAGACCTTTTATTTTTTGTCTCATGTATGACACTTTGTAACACTGCAGCGTAGGGCATTGATTTCGTATTAAATTTATCGTCTCTGTTAAGTTGTCTTGATTTGTGATGAAAAATTCCTATGCTTCTTTTCTGTAGAACCATGGGAAAACGGCTCCTGTTTATGATGTTTGGCTACCTTCTGATTGACCTCATGGCCTCCACGCTTATGTTGCCGTGGTTGCCAACTATAATCAAGGAGATGTGTGAAAAGGATGTAAGTATAGCCTAGCAGTTTTGAAGTCCACTGATTACCGAATTCACTATAACCGCCTTTGGCCTCTCATACCCAGCTGGAGTTTTACACACCTCCTTATAGCTAACAATACGTTATTCAAGTATATTTTTCTCATTTTTTGTTTAGCTGGCTTTTTTTTGGGGTTTAATTTTAGACGACTCTCGTTGTCATTCGAAGATTTGTACACACAAATATATTGGGGGTGCCGAAGGAGGAACAATTATCTTCTCGCGATGCGTCGTTTATTGGCAGTATGTTAGTTATACCTTATTTTCGGTGCGCCCAACTCGATTTAGGCCATTTATCGATTTAATATATGCTTTGGAATGATTGTCATCTTTGAGATTTACTCATGTTATTCTATTTATAACATTTTAGGTATTTCAAGTTCACTTATGGCATTAGCCCAATATGTTTCTTCATCAACTGCCGGATCAATGTCAGACTCCTTTGGTCGCAAACCCGTTCTTCTTAGTTTGCACGTTAGTTTTATTAATTTTGCACTGTAATATGGCGTTTTATGCAATGCTTTGACACTGGTCTATTGTAACATGAAGTCCTAGTCAATTCTTCTCACACCATATTATGTATTAAAGTCTCTAATGAGTATGTAATTGTTCCATACATACTTCTGTGAGTGCTTTTTTCGCGCCATTATTCTGCCCGACCGGTATGTGAAATCATCTTCTTGGACTATATTTCCTTATTTCTTCGGTCAAACATTTATTCTCAGTGATATATCATTAACCAATATTTTGGGTAGCGCCAGTTAGCAACCAGATACTAAACCGTTGGAATATGGTCACAAGAGTGTCTCGTAGATGCGTCATTAGTCATGTTTTGCTTTAAACTGTAAGATTTCCCATTTTACCGGCTAGCACCACGCTTTGTTGGGCCTTTGACGTCTATTATAGGCGAAGAGCAGGGTCCATGTAATCCCACATTCCCCCTCCCCCTGATTAATTATTTGTACGCTGTGGATGTGGTTCTCAATGATTCCGATATCTCGCTTTCTTCTAGGCGTTGTGCATGCTTTCCTACTTACTGTGGTCAGCATCGGGTGCTTCGTTTGTGTTGTTTGTGTTGGCTCGCATCCTGAGCGGTGTGTCTCGGGCTAACGTAGGTGTGCTCTCGGCGATGGTTTCTGATGTCTCGGATAGAGCAACGCGGACCCGAGGAATGGCTGCGGTGGGCGTTGCCTATTCTATAGCCTACCTTGTCGGTCCGCCAGTCAGTGCTTGGCTTTTGGGTCGTCTCTTCTTCAATCCCCAGGCCGGAGTGAGCGTCTTGGAGCCTCACATTGGTCTTGCTGCTGCCGCCATTTCTGCACTCAACCTCATTTGCCTCTTCAACATTCCAGAGACAATGGTCAAAATAAAAACTGACAAAAAGGAAGAACCGGTTGGGTCAAGTAAGAAAGAAGCAAAGCAGGTAAGAAAGATTTTTCTTGAATCCTGCGTACTGTTTGCCAGTCCTCAACACTAAAAGCACGAAATGGTCTAGTAGTTTGGGACGTTTTTGTATGCGTAACCAGTCCTTTGCATCGATCCCCATGCTACTGGTAGCATGATGTCAAACTTTTTATTCATTTGCATTCTAACCAAACTGATGTCCTGCTCAAAGCGTCTATTTATTCGGAATTTTAGAGTGCGTCTGCAAGAACGTTTCGGGATTCGCTCAAGCTACTTAATCCCTTTGAGCTCTTTAGATTTCGCGACATCACCGACAAGCTCGGTACGTTTTACCCCGATGACCCTCTCTTAGTAAACAAATCGGCACTCCATATTTATATTTTAGACATTGGAAGTACCAACTATTATGCTCTCCAATGCATGCCTTGTGTTAAATTTTTTTCACAAATGCCTTTGGTTGTTTTTGCACCCGCTTAACACGTTTTGTTTCTGTTGTTTTAACTTTCTTCGCATCTCAAATTTGCGCCTTAAAGCCTTCTTAAATGGTAGCCCTCCTGGTCTTTAAACAGCGGAAACGCGTTTCTGTCAAATACGCCCCTTTAGTTATGGCAATGACATCTTTGTCTGCACCTTAATGAGCGTGCAGATTTAACGTACATCTTGGAAGACAAGGGCCACTTAATTGTACAAAATGTATCTAATCTATCTTTTTGGATGTCGTCTCGAAAAACGACCATGGCTTGTTGTAGGTCGACTTCAAGTTTTACGCTAACAGCACATTGTCGCAAAATAAAGACGAGGGCTGTGTCTTCACCGTCAGTTCATGCCCTTGTCGTCCTACTCCTAAACCAAACCCTTAAATCGCATTTTGATTGGGCTAGCCCCCGGAATAATGAATGCAGAAATTCATCAAACCATGTGTCTGATTGGAGATAAGACTACCCAGCTGTTTAACCGCAAAAGTTTACATATTACCATATTGCAACAGACCATTTGTTATAATGTAGAGTCATGATTTCACTATGGAGAAGAAGTCTTGTCTTGCTCTGCCTCAATTATCCTTCACTCTACACCCAGATCCAAAATCGTTATTCGGATATAATTTTTTGCCGTCAGTTCGGTCATGGTTTCTTGTTGATAGGTTGACATTTTCTGGTCCCTAATCGATACGACTGTCTTGCCACGCTGCCACTGGTCCCTTCGCTAGGCAAATAAGATTTAGCCTGTACTATCCATTTTTTTGTTACAACTGGCGTGACTTGCGGCGCAAAATAACGCGAACCGATTGTGATGTTCAATTTTACAAGACGAAATGTACATAGAGGCTTGTTTCTTTACGTACGTAAAAGCCTATTTTAAGTTGCGATTCTCTACCACAAGGATGTTTTTTTTTGTAATCTCGAACAGGTAGAACCTCTTGAGGCTTCAAACCACGTGGCTTGTCATTTAAACATCATGAAGGAAATCCGCTTAGTGATTTCTAGCACCCTAACATGGCCTATTTGGCTAAATCACTCCGGCATCGATTGGATTTTTTTATATTTCAAATTTCAGTGCAAGAAAAACTGCAAAAAATGGCAAGGGTGTTTTTCCTCAACATGCTGCTGTTCTCTGGTCTCGAGTGCTCCCTTCTGTTTCTAGCTCAGCTCAGATTCGGCTACACCGGGTACGTTCATTCATTCCTAACTTGTTACTGTGTTAGCCGTTTATGTGTAGGTAATTGCATACCTAACCGTTAAATTTAGTGCTGTGGACTAACCCGAACACAATACCCTTTTCTAAAGTGTCATCAAACGGGCTCACAAAACTCTTTTAATTCGACAATAGGTCTACATGACATACATTTCAAGTGCTCTAATTTCAAGGTCTTCTCTTGCGGTGCATAGAAATCGTTTAGGTTCGCTTTTACCCAAGTTCGATGGTTAATCTTTTTGAAGCTGTCATGGCGCCTGAACGTCATCTGAACTCGACGTGTTATTCTTGCGCTCGTGGCACGTTTTCATTGGTTAGCCTGTTACTAGGCTTCATGACTCTCAGCCGAACAGCGTGTTTAGTTTTAAAAATGGTCGCAATTCCTGCCAAAAAAATAAATTAATCTTACATAAATGCGTTAGTTGCGGAGTTATTGGTGTCTGTATCTAAGAAAAAAGCTGCTCTTCGGTTTTGGACGTATTTTGCATTTAGGAAACAGAAGTCGATGGATCTGTAAGGGAGGGCTGTAGCGCGAGGTGTGGGCTGCCTGCTTCCAACGTAGTATTTTGCGCACTGCCGCCTAAGCCATGATCGCTGAGAGTAATCTGGCAACTAATTCCCTCTCGAAAAGTAGTTGGTTTTGACCCCGACTCGCCGACTCTGGTGCCGTTGACAAACTGACCACTCTGGCCCAACGCTCTGCACGCTTTCTTCCTCCACTTCGTGCCGAGCGTAAAGGGTTGTTGCGTTCCCCAACCATGTTGTTTGTCGCTTTACCTCTAAACAATTGTTAACTTTTGGCCGCGAGTCTCCAAAACAACCAACAACACAGTCTGCATGTAATGGCTCTTTAACGTATTCGCGTAGTGCCAAAGCCTCAGATGCAACATGTTTCCCTTGGATCTCAAGGTCTTCGCAGGTTACTTAATGTCGTGTTTGTAACAACCACTTGGTTATTCAAAACAAGTAAACATGTGCGTGCCTATAAATGCCGTAGGTTGAGAATTCGCGTGTTTTACTAGTACTCGTTTCTCTTTTAGTCGGGATCAGGGCCGTATCTTCCTCACAACTGGCATCTCCATGATTATCATCCAAAGTACGTTGGTCGTTTGCTATATAGCCCCTTAACGTTCAAACTAAAAGCTCTTTAACGTATAATTATTTACATTAAGGCGGCTTTGTGAAGCGGTTTAAAGGGGGTCGCGAAGCCAAAACTGCCTGCTGGGTATGCTGAGCTGTAAAATAATACCGTACTAAAATGCATAAAGTAACGCCGTTTTCCACACCTGTCTTAGGCGATGTATATTCAAGCACTGGCCTACCTAATCCTCGGCTTCTCGAACTCAGAATTACTTTTCTACGTCGGATTGGTCTGCTTCAGCTTTGCATCCGCCTCTTTCGTGCCCGCATTCAATGGCCTTGCTTCTCTGTCTGTTGGGCCGCAACAGCAGGTGCGTTTGTCGTGTGTGCCTTAATGCCTCTCTAGAAGGGTGGGGGGCTGCGTTTCCGAATGTGAGTGGCTAATTGCTACCGTACCCAAGTTAAATACCTACTGTCAAAGAAAGCTACTACTAACAGAAAACGATTTTGTCCTCTAAAAGCAAACACCTTTCTCTAGTTTAAATGGTCTATATCTAAAAGACAACTAAAAGCACTCGGTTTCGACTAATTTGTGGAACTTGATTTGGTCGAAGAGCTTTAGTTCTTGACGCGTAAGATGCCGTTTTTTTAGCGTACGTAGGCGTGAATCCTCGCGGATGGAGTCCCATTAGGTTGTTATGGGATGTGTTTAGGGTCAGAGTCTCTCGTTACTAATACGAGGAATGTTTTGATTTATGCAGACTAAGAGCTCGGCTGTGCTGTAACACCATGGGATCATGTTTCATCCCAGTCACTCAGGCTTGACAATGAAGAGGTGGGTCTAACTTTTGTCCGAAATTGACTTTGGCAACACGAAGCCTCACTGGGCTTCATTTAAACCGATAGAAATCGATTTATTTGCTTGCGTCTATCGTTGACAAGGCACACGACATGCCTTTGGTAGAAGCCACCTTAAATCACCGCTCGTGCACACTTTTGGGTAATACCGAACACCAAGTCAGCGTGTGGTTCCACTCAAAGCCTGACCGCGTGCCGTCTGTTCTAAATGCCTTTCGCAGGGTCAGACAATGGGCACCTTCCGCTCGTTGGGCGGCCTGGCTCGTGCCGTCGGCCCGAGTCTCATCGGGGGGCTCCTGTGGCTCGGGGGTCCCGCCTTCTCCTTCACGCTGGGCGCCATCGCGACCATCTACGTCTCCGTTCTCTTCGCCCGCATTCCTGTCGGTCAGGCATCCTAATCCTCTCCGTCTGATCTTTTTGCGTTGTATACACTGATAGGAAATCACGCTGTTTTCTTTCTTTGATGACTGCTATCATGATGGGGCCAAAACTCGGGTAGAAAAAAAAACTCCGAATCACTTCATGGTAAAGCCGCTAAAGTTTTAGGTTAGCTGTTTTCTAAATCAGGTTGTTCATTTTTACGTGTTATCCATGTGCATTATAAGAGAGCACTAACAGGAATGCTTGAACAGCCCTCTGGCAATATCAGCACCAAAAAGGTCCGAATTTGATTAACAGCAACATTAAAAACCCAACTTGCAAACCCGACGGTTGAAATTTTGTGGGGCTCCGGAACAGATGCGAATCCACGGGTTCTTCCAGAAAAGTCCTTTTGGTTTTAGTTTCCTGGTTAAAGGCAGGTGTCACCCACCTGGCCTTAGTGTGCCATTGCTTCACAGAAAACAAAATACGCCGTGTGCTTTCGATAAACCGGCATTTCCCTAAGGGGTCCTACTGACTGCATTTAAAAATTAAAGTCTCTCGTTGGGACAGTTCGAAGGTTGGTCGATGCCTCAGAAGTTTTTAAGCCTCCTAGTGAACGAAGAAATCAGGTAGTGTGATGATTAGCGGTCATCACGCCTACGTAATAGCGCTCAAGGTTGTACAAACGTTCTCCGGTTCGACCACTTAGTTTCTGTTAATCGTCCACATCCTGACTTAGTTGATTTGAATGTCATATTTGAACAAATGCTAACACCCAGCAATAATAATCTTGCGGGCGCAATAAACAGTCGAACCGCAGCCGTCCTTGGTCGTATTTCGTTTGGATACTACGTGCCTGTACATGCCGCAACAATTTGGCAACCCCGACCATCAACAAAAACAACAAGAACCGCAACCTTTGTTTACGCTTAGAGGCATCAACATGAAACAGCCGATTGGGAACGTAATTTCGTGGTTCCAGCAAGGTTTTCATGACTCATTTGCAAGCTGAATGAGGCATTCGGGGTCCTGGAATCTGCTCAACTGACCACTGTGGAGCTATGGAACCAACTCTTGCCTGCCGATGAGCTGACATAACTTAAGCCAATACGATTTTGCGTGGAATGCGTTATCAATGATCTCTTGCATGACACTTTGTAGAGGAGATTCTTCCTCTAGCGACCCACGAAATATCGGACCAGTTGTAGCCCCCAACCCCCGAGGAGGTGGCAAATACCGCAGATCTCACATTAATTCAGGACTCATCCGTCAATCGGATTCTGCTTCGCGCACAAATACTGTTCCATTACTTGGGCCACCGTCTTTACCAGGTGCTGTCCTTCATTGATGCTTTTGCACTCAAACGTTTGCAAAGAGCGGGATTCAAGTATTGTTTCGGTCGAAGCTGTTCCCAGTGTCTGTAAGTTTTTCTCAGGTTCCTAGTTCAAGGTCTCACGCTGGAATCATGACGCTTTCGTGAATGCACTTCGATTTAAGCCTTCCTATTCACTTGAAGCCTCAAGCAAGCAACCACTACCAATGAACTGTTTGAGTCGCCATCTGTTTCTGGAGTGCTATCTCTGGTGGGCTCGGGAGGTGGCTTGCCAGTTACCCCAACAACGCTCTTCGAAAAACGATCCCTCAATCCCTTCATCTTTTTCAATGAGCAGGCAACGGTCTAATCACCCCTACACACGGGCAAGGTGCCGAACGCTCTGCCTGTGGCTGGTGTGTGTCTGTGCACTAAATGCTTGCCGATTTTGAAATTCCCTTTTTTGTTCAAGAAGAACCTCGTACCTTTTTACACATCAATTTGCACACTTCAGCCCCCATTTGGATTTTAAATTGCTATCGGGAATGGATTTCAGTTATGTAATGAGATAGGAATTTATTTGAATGGAAAGTAATATAAGTTTATGATGGCAATATCAGGTCACCATTTTGTCGAAGAATAATCCCTCCTGAAAAGGCAAGTTGTTAATTTATCGTTAAAACCCAATGAATGATGTGCACGAGACCAATAAACTTACGTGTTCGGTCGTGCTGTACATCGGTTCACTTAACAGATGACTGTGCAAATTAATATTGAGGTCAGAAGGAGGCAGTAACTAAAGTAACGTAACCCTGCCAGTGGTGTTTAACGATGAATTCCATTCATGGCGTAAATAAGCGACGAAACACAAGTGGTCTTATGAATTCGATCGAAATTAAAATATAAGAGAAAACGTAGAAAAACGCCAAAAATATGACAAAGAGGAGGTTTCGAACATCAAGCGGATCTATCCAAAAGCAGCACATCAAAGTGGAATTGGGTTCGAGTCATTATGTGGAGCGTCTGGAGAGTCGTCTACAGCACCATCGTCCTTAGCAGTTGCCCATTCATTGAAGGGGACGACACTCACAGCGCCGAAGTTCTCTAGTAGCCGATTGTTGTATTCGCCAGTTATTGCTAAGAAGAGAAGCTTAATAATTTCTGATCTCCCCACGTTATTGCCAAAGGCAGATTAGGTATTAATAATATATACGGCGCAGTTGTCACTCGTTCTTGAGATTCCTTTATTAATTACAAATGTGGAAAACCGTCTTTACAACAACGACCGAATTCACAGATTTTAGCTTGACGAGATCTCGAAGTCTCAAATGGGATCACCTTTAATCTGCTTTCGGAGTGAAGTGGTGGGTGGAGTAAAGTCAAAATCCAAAAACTGAATCTGGCGGACAGTGGTTATTATCCACTAGAAGAATTGTTTGATCCTAAGCGCCATGTAAGAGCGAGATAGGGCTCTGCTAGTGTGCCGGTAAAAATCGACTCAAAACTCTCGCTGAAAGATGCATACTGAAACAAGATCTGCGTGCAAAAGATAGATCAGAACTTCTAAATTATGCCCCAACAACAACGCCATGGATAAATGAAGGGACACACTCGTGCGCAGGCGCTTCATCCGATGTGAGAGAGGGGAGCGCAACTTCTGGGGGAACCCCGAGTCTTTTATGGACGAATTCACACTGGCCTGTAAGGCACAAAACTAGAAAACGACGTTACAAGTCAAAAGTTCAAGACGGCACTGCACTTCCATTCTTGTCGGAGTAATGGTCCTGAGTACAACACTACACAGCAAAGTGCATCAACGTTTCACTAAACCCACTGACTTCACCCCACTGGTGGTTGCATTGACCTTTCCGAGCCCAAAGCACTACGTACACAAGCACAAGAACCTCGACCCTCCTCCTCCCAACGTTTGAAAAAAAAACCAGAAGATCGCCAAGTTAATAAAATTAGTCGATTTACATCTATTCACCATTGATACGCTAACAGTTGTGCGTCAGTATAATAAATGAAAGCAATAAGTGGAAGATAGCGATCAAGGGAAACGGAAGTCAGACCATCGAGCAACAACACGCAAATAAGATCTGGGAATAAACGAGAGGGAAACGACAGGACTGTAAGTATATACATAAATGTTAAAAAGGAAGCTGTGCGCATTCTTGAGGTAGTGGACAAAGAGAGAGGTAGTCACACCGGACTGAGTTGTGGTGGGGCTGCTCAAGGGGCGGTTTGCTGCTTCTGCTGTTGCATTAAGCGAAGCCGAGCAAAGTCCTCGAAGATGAGGTCATCATCGTCGGTCTCCGGCTGCTGAGGGCGGGGGTGGTGTGAGGAGGTGGTTGCGAGGTGCAAGGTGGAGGGCTCTCCCAAGGCGGGGGGCTGAGGGTGGTAAAAACAGTTACCACTCGGTGGCGCCGCGAAAGTCGGGGGAAAGTGGAGGCTAGAAATGAGGGAGTAACGCAAAATTTATGATTCGGGGAAATTGATCAATGCCCTTTGTGGTTAATAATTGGCCGCTTCGTCCTGAAATGCCATGGAGCTCGCCCTCCATGTATCTCAGATGCAACTATTTCCATTATTAAAAAAGAAATGCAAATTCTTGGATCAGACTGGAAACCAGCTGGCATTAAAGTAGCAAAGATGAAAAGTAAGACAAAAGTAATTAATTGGGTGTTCCCACGAGAACACACATATTATGCTGAGCGAGATTGATAACCCACGAAGATGCACAATATCCAATCCAAAACAAGGACGACTTTTACTACAAACTGGTTCGTTTCCAAAACTAAACATTGGAGACCACTTTCATTATGCAAAGTAGATTAGCATTGGTCCTTAATAATGCTAATTTGGATCCTTGTGTTCCAGTCAATGAGCGACGGAGAAACAGGATACCTCGGATCTTGACAATACCACCAAGTTAAAAAGAAGAATGTGCCTTAAAATTGGTTGGCATCATGGGTAATGAATATCAGCCACTAACTCAAAAAAAAACAAGCCTAGCTGAACTACAAAGCGTTGTGCTTCCAGAGGAACACCGTCTTTCAAAGCCTTTAAAATAGATCTCAAGATTTCTTTTACTATGATAGAACGCATAGGCAGCTCAATGGCAAAACTCGCAAGATCAAGCAAGAAAGCAACTACACGCCAAAATAAAAGAAATGAGTTTGACACTAAATTGGGGATGGAGAGCGAACGAAGGGCTGTGGGTTTTTTGAGTCTCATTGGCTGACACTGCGAGGCGTCTTAAAGGGGCGGCCTAGACACCGAAACGCATTGGTGGGACACAACGCAAAATCGTACAAATTCAACACAAAAAAAAAATATTCGTGAATGAACGAAAGCAACTGCATGAACAGTTACCATATAAACTGGCCAAAATGATGGGACGATGGTGGAGTGTGCGAATGGAATCGTGCAAATGCTAATCTCCCGTCAACGTGCAGCCTGTCAACTGCATCATGGAGAGTGGAAAAAAGGAGGCCTGGGAACAGACCTCGACTAATCCTTAGGCGGTAGGTGCTGGACCACATGACATTCAAAGTTAACGCAGCGCATTTTTACAAACACAAAGTGGTTTGAGAACTGTGAAAAAGTAATTGTAACCTGTGGGTGGATTTTTATTCGCGTTTTATAGTGCTCAAGGAATTTACTGCGGAATTGTTTGCGAAAATCACGGACATTTGGAGCGGGCATGAGAAGCTCAATGGAGACATTTGACATAAGGACCTCCACCCTGTCTGAACGGCTCCAAGAGCAACAGCGGGTTCATAAAAATGTCAGAGAAAGTGTTGGCGTCGATGACGCACAGTGAACCGTAAAATTTTAGGAGACGTGTATTTGACTTTAATACTTTATCACACGTCGCTCGTAAAATTAGCGAAAAGCTCTTAGATTGTCTAAATTAGTCCAAAATATGTGAGTTACGAACATGAAATAAAGGGCAAGTCATGTTTTTGATGCAATGAGGTAGTAAAAGAACGAACTTGGCGCATTTCATATCCGAAAAAAAGGCAATGACTTGCCATACAATTATATACGAGCATTTAGGAATCGGACATAACATAAGTAGTTGGCGAAGAGGGTGCCGCGAAACCACTAAATAGCAAACAATTGACCAACGAATGTTATTGAACACATTTGGACGTCTTTCTCTTCCAGAGCAGTGGGTCAGACATCCACAATAGCCAACTTCGCCTTTTAATGTGATGGAATTTCACGGGTCACAACAGTTCGCTTACTCCACAAGTTATTTTCACACCGAAAGGCGAACCATTTCGGGATTTAAGCACAGCGTAGAAAGCCTTAAATCGCCAAACGTAGATGGGCCTTTTTTGCTTAACCTACGAAACAGAAGCAATTTCTAGACAGATCAACCATTTTTTATGACAATGAGGACTGTTGGGACAACGAGATATCTCGAAGTGGCAAGGGAAACACTAACAACGAAAATTGAAAACAAACAATGGCCGGGCAAAAACAGCTATGACTGGCGGTTCAGTGCAAGCTCACAATATCCATGAGAAAGAGACGAAAAGCTAGACCAAAAACACGAACCATCACTTGAAAGACCAAAGTAATCAAAAGAGAATTTGGAGAACCTTGTGGTCGCTGACGGCGACGTAGTTTACGCGGTTTCGTTTCGAAAGGACGCCGGATTTGGTGAAAAGGACATAACTGGGAATTTATAAATAAAGAGAGCTATCAAAATTGTAACAAGAATTTAGCGGCCTGGAAGAACATTGCGTGTTTTCAGCCACCACAGCCTAGTCATTTCACTAGTGCCACATACACGAATACAGTGAAACCAGATCTACGCTCACTGTCTCACTGTCGGTGTTCCTTAAAGTTCACTTCCACAGATCACCGTGTGTAGTCAGCACATTGCCCCATGTTAGGAATTTACAGTTTCAAAATTGCACGCGGTAAGAAATCCATTTCACCAGACACCATCAAACAGTCTGAGCCATAACTTTAAACATCCATGACACGAATTATGCTACTGAAAGACAGTAATACTTTAATTGAAAATGAAGTGCGTCGTGACCTACTTATCAACGCGTCCCCTAGAGGCGTCCGTGAAATGTTACGCCTGAGGTAAAGCGGCCACTACAAAACACGAAAGTACCGGCTGTACATTTTTTACCATACGACTACAAGTCTGGCAACAAGCACATGCTTGCATGTTCACATTCTTCGGAATTCGGCATTTGCCCTGTTTGCTGGTTTAACTTGGGCACTCTACCACAAATTTTGTCCTCTGATTTAAGACGGTTTTGCCACAAAAGCCAAAAAAATAAACTAGATTAAGTAAGTCTTCCAAGTTGTGGTTCAGGGTTTACCATGGACGAGAAAGTTAAGTAAATGCAATTCAAGTTTTCAGATGAAATTTCAAGCATACAAAAAATGCCCATTTTTAATTACTGGGGAGTTAAAAAGGAACATAAAACGGCCGCTTCCAAAAGGACTGTTTCAATTTTTCAAAGGCACCCCTGTTAGTCCTTACTGCAGCCAATCATCTTTCATTAAAAGTATGCGAAAATGTCAAGGAATAGAACGTAAGTAGATCAATTTAAAATCAGTTAGCAAGTACAATGTGCTCTACGCCACATTAAATCCATGTCGACAAACCGAACAAAAGTGCTAGGAAATGATTGGCCAATTATACAGCATCAAGATCACAATCATTTTTTTTGCGGATAGTAAGGAATTGCTCAAAACTACATTTAAAAGAACTGCAGTTACAAGCATAGACTCATAGAATTAAAAGCTGTGGAAATCGAATAATTGAAGATGACATAACACAGAGGATATCAAGTGGCCATACACACTTAGACCAAGGTATTTTTTAAACAGGACTGAGGTGAAATCGACGACGCTGCACTTAGGAAACATGACAACTACCACCAAAGACATTTACCCATTGCTACTGGGAGAGCGTCTTTTCGACTGGATGCCAAGGAAGTCCTCAAGCGTGTCCGTATTCTCCGTGGACACGGCCGGTGCGAAGGCGGCCATTCCATCGGGCATCTCCGAGGCTCGCAGAAATTCTGCAATGTGCGAACTCGCAGCGGTGGGCGACCTGCCAGTGGCCGTGGCCGCCCGTTTCGCCAGCACACCCATCTGAGGACGGGCGCCGAAGGTGGCGGCGGCAGCAGCGCCGCCATTGGGGGCTGCGGCGTCGGGGGGTCCCTCCGCACCCTCCCCACCACTGCTCTCGTCCCCAACGCGACCTGCCTCCGTAAAGTGGAAGTCGTCCAAGGCGCTTTCGAGGCCTGCTGTGGCTGATGACTCGGGGTTGGGGTGAGTCAGAATAAATGGAAGCTCTAGGCAGACGTCGCTAAAATAAATTCAACCAGACGGAACAAATTACTTCAAATAATAAGGTGTTTCGTAGAAAGATGCTCTGTTTAACGTTATGTTAACTTGAACATATTACTGGAGTGAAAATTCCACAACTTTAGATAAGAGGAAGTAAGAAACCACTGATCCTTGAATTTGGTCAAACGAGAATGCTTTAACTATGAATTGAGGTCAAGGGCATGTAGAGATTCGTGTTAGAGAGCTCGAGGTAGGTATCGTAACTGTTTGAAAATTATAAATTTAATAAACGTTAGTGTAAATAGTGGTTACTAAAACACAATCAGAACAGATGATAAATTCATAGACAGAAATTAAACCCAGTTTTATTAAGGATTTTCCTTGAAGTGATTTGCATAGATACGAACCGAAGAACGGATAATGGAATACCCACAAATGGGTTGGGTGATTGCGTTAGACACCATCTCCGACGACGGCAACCAGACGAACGATGAGCGACGGCACGCAGGCGCCGTTTTAGTGTCCGTCGCTGATAAACCGATTGCAACAAACGCGGACCAAAAAAGCCCTTGTAAAGCCACAGAATATCTACATAGATGACTGCAGTCAATTAAAAGAGAGCAGCAGAGAATACCAGGAAAAAAGGAATTAGGACAAAATCCGGGATTTGGAACGTGGGTTGGGGCGTTTCATAAATGCAGACTCGGCGACTTGACTGCATTTCGACTAGTTCATCGAAAGTGGATACGTTATTGGCATTCTCAAGTGCAGAACGAATGGCGGTGTGGCTAGACAAGGAATCGTACTGATCACAAATGACTTGATTGGCCACACGCCGAGAATAAGGCGACACTTATTTTGAACCACCTTGGTTCACGCTCCTTAATCCGGTCGCTCTAGTCATCGACAAAGTGCCCCTTCTTCAAAGCGTGCCGTCAGACATGGGGGACCTCAACTCACCCCTAAGTCTCGATGTTAGCACATCGGTGACACTATTTCACACATCAGAATGATTTGAGACCATATACCGGGGACCACAACAGACTGGTGTGAATCGTGTTTAGTCAACCCCTTAATCCGATCGCGCCGCCTCCGACACATGGTTCGCCTTCTTGTAGCATGGCGCCAGCCACGCGACTCCCCAACCCCCCCTTCATTCACACGAATATTTGGAATATCCTCACGCCTAGGTCTCGATGTTAGCGCATCTATGACTCACGCATCCGAGGTATAAATACACACGCGCAAACTCGACACAGTTTCGGTTAAGCTCTGAAGTAAACGGTTGTGTCCCGTCCTCTCCAGTCTTTTCCTTCATCGCGGGCATCAGGCAAGTGTAATAGGGCCAGGGTTAATTCCGTGGCCCCGGCGTGGCTCAAGACAACATGCTGGGACCCACAACAATTGGTGACCCCGACGTGATCCCAACGTGATGAAACCACTTTATTTTCGACTCCATTGATTGGCGATCTCCGTCCAATTTTTCACAACAATACTAGCTACTACATTTGGTGACCCCAATAGTTGTCGTCGGGGTCACCAATTGTGACCACCCGGCATGGTTTAAAACCACATGCTGGGGCCCACAACAAGACCATGCCGATGGATGAAAGTCAGAAAAGGGAAGGGAACAGTTCTCTGCATAATGTCAAGAGATTAGATTAGCGAAAATCCAGAGAGAGGTAGCAAAGCTGGTCTTTTGGTAGTTTTAACAGTAGCTGTGAATCACACATGATGCCAATGTCCGAAGAAATAGAAAGCAATAGTATGAACACCTGAACTGATTTTCAATTTGTTTAAATTTTCAGATTTGTACCACTTATGACACAAACAGAAACCACTGACAGCATAACCAGTTGTTATCTAGGCTAAAGCGAAGAGAGGCCGAAATGAATGACCGATCGAGCTAAGGGAAATTGGTAGGCACGGAAATGGCTATTTCTGCCAATCGTTTTTAATAACCCATAATTAAGTAAACACACCGCTAAATAAAATAGGTTTGTAGTTAACTAGTTGTTAGCTGGCAAAGAACAATCAAAGCGGCGGCACCGTATGACCGATTTCCTAGCTAATCTCCCAGCTTGCAACTTTGGCTACTTGTTCCATCTCGTGCACCAAACAGACCCGAGTTCAAACACACAGATAGGAGTTGCTGGGGTTCGAAAACACGTGCTTTACAAAATTAGACATCTTATTTACTATGCCCGAATACCGAACGGAGCCGTCAAGAAAATACAAGTATTTATGACGACATCCAAATGTTGGAATAAGTCGAGTGAACGTAGCGTAGATATATATCCACGAAAGCCACACGTAGCACTTGAGATTTTCGCTAACAGAAAGCACAAAGTTCAATGGGGCAGTAATTAAGGAACTTAAAAATTGTTTCATTGTGTTGGATGGCTTTTAGCAGGATTTTATCACAAACTCCGGGAAAGAGCCTTAGAAAGCATTACTGAATCTCAAAATAAGATTTTACTTCCACTGCTTGGAAACAGTATAAAAAGCGAAGACATTTATTTGCGGGGATCACATCCGCATGACACACACACACGCGCAAATTATGTTGGCACCGGCTTTGTTCTTTGTCAGCAGCTGATTTTTTTTGGAAAAAACTGATTTGTCATGACGACCGGAAACTGATTGCTCAATAAATCGCTCACACTGAGGTCATTTTTTCACAAACTGGCACAATGTCGCAGATCCTTACACGCTCAGTCTGTTAGTGCAATAGTTACTTTTCAGTAAATAAGGGCAACAACGTTACACGACAGTCGACGGTTGACATTTAAATATGCACATTTTAGGGAGAGCATTCCGCAGCACGGCAGAACTGGCACGGCAGCCTTGCACGATTGCCAGACGGTATTAATCACTGCGTTTACTTGCCTTGCCAAAGTGCCTGGCCATTCAACCAAAAGCAGCCCTTAGTGAAGTGGATCAGTGGGTTAGTGGAGTGACTTAGCAAAATTGCCAAAGGTAATGACGGATGTGGCTAATGCAGCAGATTGCACACAGAAAGCCAAGTGGTGTTGAAATAACGAAAAATGTGGTTGCATGAAGTTCAGATCCACGATGGACACTTACCTCAACCCGAAGCCGAGAACAAGGCGAATTTTCACTTTGTACTGAACAACGATGCCCAGGGCCTCACGAGAGGAGTTGGGAGGGATGCTGAAAGGAGGACAAAAACATGCTAATACGGGTGTTATGCAGGCGTTATGACGGACGCCGCCCAATCGCTTATTACCGTTAACATTTAGCGGCCATCAACTCGAGCTACCAAAGTCCGGACTTATCATCGCGTTGGGTTTAGCCGTCTCAAACAAAATAAATATTTCAATCCACGAACTACTCCGCTAAATACAAAAACCCCATCGCACAGGTAATACCGATGCATACTGGAAGATTTCAGTCAAATAGAGGCCAACATCTGGTGTGATTAATTTACCCATTTTGTGAGACAATAGTTGTAAAATAGTAGGTTCAAACGACCATTATAGAAGGAAACTCTGGGTAAAACAACTTTGCATTCATGGTTTAATTAGGTTGAATATCACTTTATTTTTTTTTCTAAATGGAGTGACGAATGTGTGCGCACTAATTAGGCGGACCTTTAAGGCATTAATTGGCCTTTCCTCCTCGCCACCACACACGTAATAATCACTAGCTAATGGAGGGTAACATCAAGTCTAATGATTGCGTGTCGTATTAATTAGCGCACTCTCCGACCCCCTAAATATAACTTGGCCAACAGAGAGTGCCATGTCCATTACGGAAACGCGACTAGTGCAGGATAAACAAAGCGCTAGTAAACGAACAAGCGCGGTGCGACGAGTAGTACATAACCAGACGTCAACATAGTCGGCCAATGACAAGATCAGGCTAAGTGGTCTGTGAAGGAACAGGAGAATGCTGAAAAGGCGTTCCGTGGAGAGCCGAAATGATGAACAACCTAACATTTGAAATGAACAAAAAGAATGAATCTACCAAATGAGACGCCTGTTTTGGCAAGTGGATTTACGCTGGCTAAACGTGCTCTTCAACCGAGCTCCATCATCAACAAATTACGCAAAGCTAGGCTTACGATGTAAGCGGCTCAGACGCTACATAATGTCACGCAGAGTTGTGAACAATAATGACTATACGAAACCAAGAGGATTTGTCCTACTGCCTAAGAATGATAACTTAGCGCATGTAGGAAAAATGTTTTCATCCAGAAACGCCAAACCTGAAGTTTGTAATTGGCAAGGAGGCATTCTATTTGTTTAAAGGGTAACTGCAGACGGCTTGGATGAAGTGGTAAACGGCCTGTTTGTTTTAGCTGATAGAATAGAAACATTTATAAGAGTGGCGAGTGGGTGGCTGTGCAGAATCACAGGAAACGCACACGCGGACTAATGAATTCCAGCAGGGAAAAGGGCACTATCTCTATGGGTTTTCTGATTAAGATCGACGAACCACATAAATGACACCGTGTAACGGTTCCGGTTTGGCGAATTATAGTCGTATGCCAGAATCATTCATTGCTGCTTATCGCACGAAATCGGCGGAAACAACGGGATCCATTATAGAGGACGTGATCCACCGTAAGTCCCACAACATGTATTAAATATTTACTCACAATTTACACAATTTAATTTTGTCCCGACTTACTTGTTTTAGAACTATTTGAGCAAATAAAATGAGAACAACTTGATAAATAGGAACGCTGGAGAGATTTATGGGCGCATGAGAATCCCACAGGTGATTTTTAATCCCATGATTAATTGGCCCGAACAGAATTGAACCCACACCCTAAATGGCATTTCACACCCACACGAAGTTAGCAATCAGGAGGCGTGCACCGATTCTAGTTCACAGCTATTACACTCGCCAACCACCAGCCACCAACCACAAACCCGCACATGGTGGAAGAGGCGAGGTTGGTGTCTTCATTCTTGAGGTCCCCGTCAAGTGCAAGACCGGATTTATCCCGGTTGTTTGAGAGAAGAGGACACAGCCGGTAAACTTTGCACCAACCAGTCTGACTAGGCCAAATCGGGAAGCCTTCCCTAAAACAAAAACAAAGTTACTCTTTAAGTAATTTGTCTTGGGAGAATCACAAAGACGTCCGCCGAGAAAAATGAAACTATGCACTGGAGGATTTCCTGATAGGTCACTGCCAGTAGTTCAACCGTGAGCTCGACCGTGGAAAAAATGTATATTAATTTGACTAATAATTTCGAATGTTCTGAACCAATTAAGAGAAAAATTGATGAAGAAAATAGACACCCACTAAAACCTTTACCCGAGAACAAAAAACCACCCGTATTGTATAAAAACGAGTCGACGGTCTAATTTTACGTGGTCGAGCTGATTCAGGTAAAATTACGACAGATTACGTTATTTTATTCAGTCCTATAATTTTATTTCAGAGGCACTTTAGGGTGGTGCTTGGAAGTTTTACTGGCAAAATTATCTCGGCTGCCGTTGACTCTTAGAAGCCGAACAGACTCGAGCACCTTCAAACTCGAGTGAGAAGCTGAAGGTGCGAGTATTTGCGAGGTGGTTGCACAGTAACAAAGCATTTTAGTGGCTTGCGTCAGAACGCGAGGCTTTGTTAGCTGTTAGGTTATGCAAACTCCACAATTGCATATTGTAACGACTGCATTAGTGGGGCGAGTAACGGTGCTTTTCACGCTTGCATTAAAATGCAGCTCAAGATTTAACGGTTGCTATGGCCAACAGGTGAAATTAAACGAACGGATGAGGATTTGCCTTTTAATGCTACAGGTTTTTGGCAAATTTTTGGATGTAAATGAAGTGTAAAAATTAGCATAACATTTAAATGGGCGAGCTAATCATGCCGAACCCATCTTCAGTTTAAATATAAGCTGTGACTGAAAGCAAATAAGTGCTCTCAGTTCAACTACACAGACACGAAACATTGCTGGCCTTTGAAGCGACACGCTCTGTAGCACTACGATTTGTGCGCGAGATTTTGTAACAGGAAAAATGTACAGGGTTGACGACTTGGGTGAGTGAGCGTCTGGATGTTTGGCACCTCAGTGAATCCACTTGAGGCACGCGGAAGTGTCGAAGAAGCGGACAAGATCAAAAGCACAAGAGATAACTCACTCGGAATTAATTTCGGCGACGTTGCACTTGTAATGGCTTGCATTAGGCAAGCAGATGACTGTATACTGCCGGACTAAAGGGCAAACAGATTTATGCGTAAGGCGACGCAAAGAACGTGATCATCTCATTTTTTTAATTTAGGGCGGCAGGAAATCTGTTCGCCTTATCAGTGGAAAGCAAATGATTATTTATGAGATCATAGGGTTGATAAAAAAAATCCAAAAGCCAACTGCAATGTTGTTCGCGAAAAGTGGGACGTTACTCAGGAGCGAGATGATTCCATGCAAAGCGAAAACGAATTAAGGCCGGAAGTAGTTTTAAGTAAACCGAATCAGGGCCATATAGGAATTTCGGCTTAGGCAAAAATTGCGCAAGGTGGTGTTGTGGCACTTCCAAAAAGCCATGTCTTCTGTTTGGGACTTCTGAAATAAGGCCTCCTACAAAACAAACTCCTCAACTGGTTCAATGGTGCTGTTGGCAAATCTGAAGACAGTCAGTTTGCACACGCCGACTTGGGTTCCGTTCTAATGGGAAAAGTAGTTTACTTCTCCTCAAGTGATCAGAGATGCCGAGAAAACAAGCCTACACCAAAACTGCTGGCTAAAGGCGAAAATTAGAAGTCATTTAGAGATGACTGGGAATAGGCCAGCACGATGGTGGTTTTAAAGGTCAGCTGTCCCATTACAGGATGCGAGAAAGGTAGCCGCCCCCATAAACGTGCCTGCGTATTTCGGAAAGTAAAGGGCATCAGTTGCGAAATTTCTTACCCTTTGCATGACACCGCTTAATTCGACATCGTGGAAATTCTGAGCCAACGAGAACTTATCAAGCTGTCAAATAACTTCAGCAATATTTACCTTAGACATCTGACCGTCAAAATGAATTTGGTTTGACCTTGAGGCAGGGAATACCATGCCGTGGAAACTCATGACTTATAAAGACCGGTAACTGTAAATTAGAGGCAATTTCGAAACCTGATAGAACCAGAACGCGTGAATTGGAGTGCGACAGAATACGCTTAAAAGGTAAGTAAGACACATGATGCAGCGCATGACTTTGTCAAACGAGTCTGCAAAACACCATCAGAAATACAGGGGCACGTCGGTCAACGAGAGGGTAGCAAAACAATTTTTAAAAAAAGGTAAAAACACTAATTCAATCAGTAAAAACTTTAATATAGTCGCAAACGTAGTTCTATTACGATAACGAACTAGCTGAATACACACTTCTTTAGAGCTGTGAAATGTGACAATAATATCGTAAATATTAGGCCTTAATGACTATCCCGAACTGCAACGAAAAGGAATTAATAGGTTAAATAAAAACTTTAACAAGTAGGCCTATCAGTAGAGGTTAGTGCAAACAAAGCAGTGGCTTACCAATTAATTTGATCTTTTTGACAGTTTTGGTAGAATTATTGTCCACAAGAACGTTGACTACTATTGATTCTCCATGGAAGTACTTCTGAAAGAGAACATGGAAATGCAAAGAGCCACCGGACTGCTTTACCTCAGACCCACGTACAGTGGGCGCTGAGGTGTGGAGGGAAAGTGGGTGGCTAACAGTCGTGCTCGTGCGCAAAACATCAATCGGTAACCTAGAAAGGCATAAATGTGGCAGTCTTGTTTGTAAACAAGACGCTTTTAAGAAAAAAGGACAAGGAAATTCTACCCACATTACGAAAGATCGGGTCACAAATGTTAGATGTTGGAATCGTGGCATTTCTGATAGGGGAATAGCGAGGATGTGTAGAAATGTAACACGTACAAAGTCTGACTGGGAGAACTTCTAAACAATCAGAAGTGCGAAATATGCATACTTTAGGTAATTTCGTAATTTAATTACACAATCTCTGAACATTAGAAAAGAAGCACAAGACAGTAGTAACATTTCCAAATGGCAATTTCCATGCATCCCGAATTCAATTGACGACCGCACATTGAGGGTAAGTGCATCGGGAGCCGAAAAGGTCGAACTACAGACACTTGTGCTCAGTTCAAATGAAATAATGTAATTGAAGTTTCAACGCATTAGAATGCAGTGCATGGTATCCATAGTAAATCTGCGCAAGACGCTGAAGGCAATGGCTAAGAGCCGAAAAAGTTCACTCGAACAAAGGCGCTTGCCAGAAACGAGAGGGTTTACGTGATTGAGTGCTCAAATCAGTGCGCTTAATGCGCGCATCCGAGCCCATTAGCGCACGCTTGTCATCAACGAAATTCCGCCTCCCAAAGGTGGGAAACCAAACCACGAGCCCTTGTCAGTCGAGAGTGCCCACGCCCTCTAGACTACTAGGAGTAAGCACTGATAACCGGCGTGGGTTGTCCCCTATAAAGTGCCAGACCTTTCCTAAAGGAGCGAGTGGCAGACAAAGTGCTCGACTTCACTCAGCCAAAATTTGTGGAAGGTGATCAAGCAACTGTCGAAGTTCGGATTTTCTAAAATTGTATGTCAAGAGTGGTGCTTAGTTTCTTTGCGTCAGAAGCCTATTTGATGTGAAGGGTGGCTCAGATGCAACCGAACCCCAATTACTACCATTAAAAGCAATTATAAACGGAATAGAACTCTATTGTCACAAAAACGATCCTGGGTGTGAATCAAAAAGCACTAGTTTACAATTTCAAAGTCGTTATTTGATTGTGTAATTAAGGTCTGTTACGTTTATTTGTGACTTTTAATTATACTTGGGGTTCGATTACACATGGGCCACTTAATATTCATTTATATCCAAAGTGCAGGGTAAATGAAATTTGGTGGGGAAACCTACGAATAGCAAACTGCCAACCACTAGAAATCCCGCCCAAAATACCGCCCCACAAGCAAGTCGCAAAAAATGAAGGCTTTCCCAGGATCTTCGTCGAAGCAGTCTGGCTTTGGTGCAGTGCCAAGGAGAAAACCAACGTTAGTCCGGCGGGACTGGCGAAAGCAAGTTAAAAGCTTTGCAAGTTAAATATCACCGCCCCGTTTTCCCGGCTACAACTGGCCTTTTTAAATAGCATGAAGTATGCGCAGGAGAGGATTTGGCTCGCAGTTTGTAACGAGGGGGAATTATAGGAAAGAGACATACAATGGAAAGCCTTGGTTGAGAGATGAACCAACACCGACGTCGCTTTCAAGCGCTTATTTTTACTTATTTGGGTGCTCGACCGACAGGAGCACTCCAGAGTGACGCAGTTTTATCTAATGTCGCAAGCCAAGTAATGGTATCATGATGTTCATTTGTCTGAGATGGAGCGAATAAGCAAAGCAAGTATTCAGCTTAACTAGATCGGAAGTGGACGGTCCAGACTACGGATCAAACCTCGCCCGGTTAACTCACCTCACTTGCACACAATCATAGTTCTTTAACACCACGGGAATGAGAGGTTGCCAATCAACTAATCCCATTTAGTAAGAGCCACAACAGCGCACGAATATCGGAGGGTAATTGAAAAATAAAAACGTATTTATGCTACAGAAAAAGCCCCATCCCAGCGCACGAACGTTTAGAAAAAATAAATTTATTAAATTGCGCTCAGGCTAAAGAAACTACGCGTACCCTACCATTGAAGATTCTAGTAAACGGCTTTGGCTCAAGTCGAAATAAGAGTGCCACAAGTTAATCAGTCAATGATACGCGTAATAATATTTAGAAGAATATAATGATGAGAATCTTACCTGGACGACATGACAATTACGGATTACTAGGTGGATGAAAAAAGCGCGGAATTTGTTTTTGAAATTATTACGACGATAAACAAAGACGGAGAGCGAGAGAATCACACAGACCGGCACAAAGCATTTGGAGGCAACAAGATCTGTTAGTGTCGGCATCAAAAAATCGGTCGAATTGACTGCGGTCTACAAATAAGGGTCTCGCACTCGACCTAAATTGCTTTCGACTCTGCCACCCACCTCGTGAAGCTCGTTTGAGTGAACGTCTTAACAAACGCGGAAAACCAACAGGGCCCATTGGAAGGTTTTAGATGCTCGGTGGTAAGTTTGGCAATTGCTTCGAAGCGTTTGTAGACAAAGGAAATGACGTACTACCAGACGGGAAAAAACTGCAGTACCAATTAACAAGATTTACAAATATCTTAGATTGTTAAAACACTAAGGAATATAGGAATTATGAAATAGTTTCGATTTTTAATGAACTTGAGGCACATAGGAACGATAAAATTTGGCTTTGAAGCTGGTGTTTGAGAAGGCTTTTCTAATGCTTCACAAAGAAATGTAGATCTAGAATTATGTAAGAAGTAAAAATGAGGAGCAAAAACTGGATAGGTTTGTGCAATACTTTCGTCTGAATAAACACCTTAAAAAAAAAACAAAACAATTGCAACACGACCAAAAATAGCGATAAGCCAACAAAACAGAGCTAATAACCGAAGCTGACAGGCTCGAGATTTCTAAAAAGCTGTCAATTTGTGTATCAAGTGAGTCGTAGATTGAAGAGCACCACAAATTAACAAGGGATTTGAAAGAAACAAACAAACAAAGATTCACTATGTCGATGGAATTATTTTACCGACTTTGCTGCAACCCATAATATATCTAAGCTAAAGGTAACCAGCTACGCGGTTATTCAGGGTAAGCAAACCGATTTGCATAAAAAATGACAGCAGTAAAAATATCCAGTTTAAGTAATAACGACAAAGTTGGACAGGGATTCGCTAGCAAGTAAGATTAGTACCGGGAAACGCAAACGGACCTGCTTATCCAGAGAAGCTTCGACCCGGAGGCTTCCGAGACTCATGAGGAAATCGCGGACGACCTCCGCCGTCGGCTGGGGACCTGCTTCGTCTGGTGCAAACGTCAGCTTCCGCACAACCATGCGCACTGAGTTGCTGCAATGAAGAGGAAGCACCTCAGTGCGTGATGACAGTGGCAGTGCGGGTCAATTTGAACGCTTATAGTCAAACACCCCTCGAAACGGACTGAGCGCCTTCAGACATTGAAAGCGAGATGAGAGCTCAAACTACCAACTGGGAGTGTAATAGGGACGGATATAATTTACGAGTGAATCAATTGTGATTGTGGTTTAGAATGCGTTGGACATCTTTGCTGGCAAAACTAAACAATGCCTTTTTACCACATTCCAGCCTATAAGTCACCGGAAAATGAGGTGTCTTTAAACGGGATTTAATTGGTCGAGACTGCTAAGGCTAATAAAACCCGAGGTGGGCATTATACTGTCGCAGACAAATTTTAGAAAGTAGAAAAAGGTTCGCAATCAAGAGTTGGCCTGGCTTTGTTAAGTAGTAAGACAACGGAAGATTTTATACTTCGAAGGCAAATTTGCAAAACAGCGGGATTTTGAGGCGTTTACAATTATCGCCTGACTTTTCTTTAGCCGAAAACAGCCTGTCCGGGCGTTGCAGTCCCTAATGACTGTGACATTTTAATGGAAAAGCGATGGTGAAAAACACGCAAGACACTTTTAAAATGCATAATTAAATGGTAAAACCAATTGTATTTATTTTGGATCCTATGTTCCAAACTACGCGATGACATTCTGGCTAACGGTGGCTGGCAGCAGGTGGCAAATGATCAGACGAAGTGAGATAGATAAGATTTACTGTGGCCTTTATGTGCATCCTGTTTGAGCCATAAATTAGTTTAAACTTGGCTAAGCAATCCAATTTAAGATTTGGCAAGGGGAACTACGCAGATAAAAATAAATTAAGCCGTGATATCTGGACTTTCGCGATAAGTGCTTTGCCTGCCTTGACAAAAATGAGGTCGCACCGCATTAAGAAATGCAGTGTACATATTACTTGCCAGCTTTGCAAACGTTAGCTACATTCAGAAGTAGTCGGAAGCGAGTCATGCAGATCGTTATCTGAAAATGTGAATTCATGAAATCAAATAGGATGAAATTTGGTGCCTAAGAAATAAAAACCGAAGATCAAGAAAACCTAAATATTGATAAGAAACTAGCTGAGATTTAAGTGAAAATACAGGATACAGAGAATCACTCCGTGAAGAGTAAAGGCACTAGGAGGTAAAGCAAGGCTCAGGAAGATTCGGATTGCGGACTTGGTTTCATTTGATTCCCTCACGTTAAAGTGGGAAGCGTTTAGACCGGGTGTTTGACATATACAGGTAAAACCGATGAGAAAGGGTCTCGGTGCAAACTAGTTCAAACATCAAGAAGCGGTATGTGGGCCTAAGGTCAAGGTTATTTAGTGTTTTGGGCATCAGCCCACGCGCACTAGTCAGTATAAAGACAGACAACAAACTAGAAGGATAAAAGTTTTTTTTACATTTGAACTTTTTATTCGACGATGGACAATTTTTTTGACAATAACCAAAGACAATTCAGTTATAAAATACACAACAAGGAAAGCCAAGCCACAGTATGCTCGTTGTTGCCATTAGTAACTTGGCATTTTGAATTAAAAACGTCGTGGCTGAAATACTTGGCTGGGTTATCGAATCAAAAGTAATTTCCACCAAAAAACCTTGTAGGGGCGAAGATACTACTCAGATGTTAACCGATTTGGTAAATTCAGTGGATGGAGTAAAATAAATTAGGCAGTTTCAAAATGCATTCTTTTGTGTAAGGTGCTTCCTCTGAGTGAAACTTGATGCAAAAACTGAACATCCCAAGTTGCGATAACAGTTTCGTTGCATGGAACTATTTCAATACCTCACCCACTACTCTACAGTCAGCGCACATCGACTTTGCCCCAGGTTCTGGTTACTAAGCCCTGTTAAACCAGGCACTGTCACATTTTGCACCCTTCCGCTTTGGTTACGCTAGTGAGATTGTGTTCGCACGATACAACTAAGGCTACGTGCAATGCTGAGTTTTAAGTGGACAGAGACCAATCCATTGACACAATTTCGTAATAGTTATTGCAAAGTAGACTTTAGATGAAACATGATCAATCAAATCTTGGCACAAGTCTGACGGGGATAGCTCTGTGCAATACGTTACCCCAAATACGATATACCATAAGCGACTACTTCGTATGGGTAAATGGAAGTGGTATCTTCTAGTCACATAAAAGGCTGAAGAGTGTTGATGAGCAGAGTAGCTTGAAATACGTCAAACCTACTCGACTAAAGCGTGGACTACTTAACTGCTGGGATATTTACTTAGGCGTCCCGTTTCGTGGGAAGGTGGCTTACGCGATTGTTGTTAAGACAGAATCTTTTGTCGGTAAACTCTGGCTGCACACTGGCGACATAACATTCTGACGAGACGCACGTGACCATAAAAACAGTAGGATTCGAACTTAGCCTGCAAGGGTCCTTGAGGGTTTACATTATTAAGTACCGTTTGAGAATTACCTGCGGAAGTATTACACCAGGCACTGTAATAAGGCCTAACATAAATTTTACGACACACCTGGGCAGAACAAATAACCCAGGCGCGGCTACTGATAACTTTGACGACACTTTATTCTTGGAGAAAGGGGAAATAACGTTGTAGTGTTAGGATTCAGACAAAAGACTTCAGACAAAGTTGAGAGACACACATCTAATTCATGGCTCAGCTAAGAGATTTAGAAAGGATATATGAGAATTTCCTTGTTAACACATACAGACACCACAAGATGCTTCCACTTTCAAGTAAGCTACTAGTTACTGGTAACTCATAATCAACCAGAGCATCATTAATGAGAGCAAACAACACGTTAGAAAATAATTCACAAAAGCCGTATACGCCAGCACATGAGACGAATTATGCCTCACAATGAGAAAAAATAGCTTCCCAGACTTCTGATGTGGGTATAGGTAATTTTAGGACGAAAAAACATCTGAAACCGTTCCCTCTGAAATACAATTATTGATAATGGCTGATGGATGGTGCTGTGATTGAGATGGTAATGGGGGTGTATTTACCCCAAACAAATCAACTGCTTCTAGAGAACAGCAAAAAAATGTGTAAAACAGATGGTTCGATTTACATTCGTGCTGTAAGGATAAAAAAGCCTTTTTACCGCGACTTTGTTTTGCATTTATTTGGTTTCTGATTAGATCTCTAGAAAGCCTGAGTACACCACTGCATTTCCCTTAAAAAGCAGTTTAAAGTGGAAATTCACTCAGTTTGACGGAAAAAAACAGAATACTTACCGCTTCTGCGGCCTCGTATCCTCGTCGTCCACAACATAAACCTTCAATTCGTAGTCCACTCGGCAGGGCTGAAAAAGGCATAGAGGCTCTTTAGGAAAACAAGCGGACCTTGGACAAGAACGAAGTCGAAAAACGCCGAGTGAAGCGCTTGCAATAAGAGCGCAAAACAGCGATGACCAACTTTTGGGGTTAATTTTTTTTCGTGGGCTCCTCTTGAGCTCAAGGGTAACTAGTGATATACGTAGAAACAGGTTGGAGGTAAAAACCACCCAAGCAACATCGCCAGTAGGAAATATTTTCCAGTATCCATGTTAATAGATATAACGGTGTCTAACATGATGAAATTAATACACAATAAACCAATCAATTAGCCCTGATACAGTGATTAATGAGTTGGCAAATGGGACATTCCAGTATACAGTAATCCAGGCCACGTCAGATTCACAAAAGGTATTCAAATACATGTTAGATAAGCCCAATGCTCCGGGAGTGTTTTCTTTTCAGGAATGACAAAAAAACTAATTTCCATTTAAAACAGTGCGCAAACATACGTCAGCAAAAATTTACCGGAAAATCGGAGATTTACGTAACCACGGCCTGGTGTAAAAGTAGAATAAAACTCGCATGCACGTTTGCTCAATGCAGGCGACTGGGACTGAGGTTAATTAATCTACTTAAAACAGACACTTAAAACCTTGGCAACACAGATCAAAGCTACTGACTTCAGCGAAGATAACGAGAATGCCGCTGAGGCAAAAACTTGCACGATTATTCAGTAAATTGAACTAAACCAAATTGCTACCACTTTTGAGTTTAAACGAGAGTGCTTTCAGATATCATAAGACGTCAAATCAAATCTCTTAATAACAAAAGACTCGAAAGACTGAATCGGTAGGCGATAGGCTAAAGGAAAGCTATTTTCGATAATGACGTATGGCAATTGCAAAAGCTCTCAACTACTTTAAAAACAAGCTAAGCACAACATGCCTTCATAAAAATAGGCATTTACTAATCAATAATGTGCTCGCAATCAATTCAAAAGCTTTTCAACTTCTTGATTTATTTCCTTGTAATAACTGCATGGTTTTCTGCCACGGGAAATCGTAAGGTACATTGTGACTTCGTTCAACGACTCACTTTTGCTTTTCAAAATACTTAGAAGAGAACGAAACAAACGAAAATCTGAAGGCGCACGACAGAGTAATCCGGGGAAGGCTTGAAGCTTTTACCTTCTGACCCCTAAAGTATCCGTAGCGTCTGTTAAGCGAAATGTGCCCGAGTGTTGTCGTAGTGTAGGATAGTCCCTTGAATTAAACTAATTTGCACGTTTTGCTCAGATTTAACAACTTAGTTTGGTGGGTTGCTTACGGTGCTCCTCCGCTGCCATGGTTTGGCCACATCGAGGAAGCCCGCACAAGCTGTTCCTCTGCAATCCCTCCTCCAACACCTCCATTGGTTGCAGCAAGTCAGTCCTTGACACAGATCCTACCCTTCCACATGCGTGATTCCAACTTGTTTTACGCGGTACGTTATTGCACATAAACAAGCCTTCATTCTTAGCCATTTGATCGAAGAAAGATTCGCCTTGTTGACGGGCGAAAAGAGAAATCGCGGTAAAACACGACTCAGTTTGTGCAGTTGCGTCGGAGCGTGCAGAATATACATATCACACTTCGTAGCGCATCTAAGTTGCTTTAAATGAAAAAATATTCGCTAAATTGCAGACATTTAGCCTCTCAGCAATCTCTTCAGGTCGCACAAACCAACGTCTACCGTTTAGATTGACATCGGCATCTTGAAATAAACAAAACCACCTTCTAGTTGTCGTAAGAGCAAGAGCACGATCCAAATAAAGGTGTTGAATATTTTCTAATTGCAGTTTCAGCACTCGCCTTCTTTTCAACTCATAGAACATAAAATGACGAACATACAACTTTTTTCGCACATGTTTTAATACTGTACACAAGTTCAGCAAACCTCCTCAACGTTGACTCACAACGCATTTGAATAGCCGTCAGTTAATACCATGATTATAAAAATCAGCACAAAAAGTACACACGTCTGTGATCTGCGAAAATTGTTAACGAACATATGCAATCCCCAATAACAACCATCAGGTGTTAGTCAAATTCACAAATAATTTATCTAGACGTAGAGGAAATGAAGGCGCACAAGTCGCCTGGTAATATCAAATAACATATTCAACAGTGGAAAACAAAGGAAACTAAAAGTCGTTGGAGGGGAGTCAGCAAGTTAACGATGGTTTGACTCATTTTTTGCAAAATTAAATCCTTTGTTATACCATATCTGAGGCATCCACCGACAGCCCCATTAGTCCTCATCTATCCTGATCCACCTCAATTATGGTCAAGGTTGATCGGGGCAGATATAATTGGGGCCCTTGGATCTGTTGCTCGGTCTATGGATACGACAGTAAAAGCTCTGCACGAAGTCCTGTCCTTGTCTACGCACTGGGAGGATGGAGCTGGCGTTAGACAAGGGTGGGTGTTTTTGGTTACAAGCAAAATCGTATCATTAGTAAACATGAAATCTTTTCAAACAGAAGGGAACGAGCTGGAAAGGAACAGGTGTTTAAAAATTCAACCGATGCGCAAGTAGAAAATAACCCTCTGTGTCGATAAGGCAAACATACAACGAGCGGGGCAACTGGCGTAAAAACGTTCGACAGAACAGCAATACAAACACTTCACCCAAGAGCAGTGTGGAGCGAAAAAAATAGGATCTGTCATCCCAAGCAGGATACAAATTTGGTAGAGCTTAATTTTCTTTTAAGTAAAGAGGGGTCGAAAAAAGAAAGATGCAAATGGCAGTCGTCAAAAGTACCAAAATTCAGCATTTTAAAAGATCTTTAAAAAAGAGATAGCTAGATGCCACGCCATACCTGAGCTAGGCCGTAAAATTGGTTCCTGATGAAAGCTACAATTGGTCCGTTTGCCACGTTCAGAAACAGGCAAATTAAGTCACATCAACCAGTATGCGTTACCAGATAGGCGTATCTGACAAGCTGGAAAATAGTTAACGCTAGACACAGAATGATTGCCACAAATAGTGGTTTCTTCCAGTAATTTGGAACTATGGTTCCGTTTAAACGATTGAAAGCGCGAGAGCTATTTTACCCACTTCTTATGTGAGGATTTGGGCTCAGGCTTAGACACGACTAGAAGAACGTAGGGAGGCAGGTGGAGCCGAAGAGACCGGCTGTGGCACTAACCCAACCTGGTGGTGTGTGACTTCACACACACCTGCTCACGACTTGGCAGCGAGCAAGGAAGCATAACGTCATTTTGGACCGTCTTTTCGGTGTCATTTGTAACCAATGGCACAAATGTGTAGCCGCTTTCTTCATCCTTAAACCAAGTGCCCCTGTTCTCGAGAACATATTATACAATAGATGCAGCAAGGAGTGGTAGAGTGGAAGGTAGATCCAGAATATATTTCGATTGCCTTCAACAAGAACACTGCATTAAAGTTAAAAAAAGTTCAAAAAATCAAGATCTTACATTCGATATTATAACAGATCTAGCATCCACACACACACTTATTGTAAGACCATTCATCAAGTCCTTAAAGTGTTTACTTGTTTGCCAAGGTATCTGATCGTCTTACTTGATGAACACTTTGATCTGGCCCCAAGTTGACCCCCAGTGACCCAACCTACGGAATAACCAGCTGATGTAACACGGCTGTTGCAGTTAAAGGATGCGTTTTCTCAAATAAGTCGGCAACATCTAGCCGAGGTTGCGATGGCTTGAAAATAGTGCAAATTCACCCCGCATGAATTTCGCAGATTTAAAGTAGATGCGCACTCCTGAAAAGTTCGGGCTGTGGAATTACACGAGGAAAGGCGACATTGCAGAGAATTCCAATAGTGACTTTTTTAGTAAACGAAGTCTGCTTACAGGTGCTGCAAATGGACTATAGCCGCAAAAAATGCCATCAATATGCAATGACGTGATTTATTCTCTATGTCACTAACACTTCTGTTACCCATTTCATGGCTTTACGTGACACTTCTTTATTAGACGGAACCAAGATTTGGCATCACTTTAAGCGCGCAAATGGACTTGGACAAGGAACGTCGAGTAGAGTTTCAGTGTATGACTTAATGAGCTACTATTAGGTGACCAAAGTACTATTGAGATAAAAGAATCTCTATTGGCAGGTCACTTATCTACTGATTGCGAAAGTACATGTTTTACAAGTCAATAGATTTTACTCTTAATCCAAACAAGGCTTACCCGCTTGGTCGTACCCAATTCAACATTGTTAAAATGTTGTCGCATTTAAAAGCATGCATGCTGAAAAGGCTCATTATTTTTAGTCGCCGGCGCTCCAATCTCACAAATCAAAACTCATAATTAGGCCGAGCTAAATTTGGCTCATGTTAGGCTAAACCAGACAGATCAAGTAGGCGATTGTACGCAGGCTGAGTAGACTTCATATAAAAGAATGGACACACCAGATAGCAGCGAAGGTTTTAAAGGTAAAGTCGGACATTTTGACATGAGGACGTGAACGCTAGACTGGTGGCTAAGTAACGGGAATCAGTGCCAGGAGGTGACTCACACCAGGTGCATTGCATTGCAAAGACCAAACGATGCAAAGAATGGGTGAAAACAAGAAAAAAGAATATCGTGCACAGGAAGTGTATGAAGAAGAGATATTTAATTTTTTGGTGAAATTACAACTGTTACAACGCGAGGCAAAACCACGTCCAAAGTGAAAAATACAACAATATTCATAGAATAAGACATCAAGAAATCGGGGAAATGAGTTGAACAAAAGACGAGGAGGAATGACAATAATGGGATTGGTGGTCGTAACAATTCAAAACAAAAGGCATTCACTGAGGACTGCAAAGTGACTAGAACCTAGCGAGCAGGTGGGATTGATTGTTCGAACTAACCAACGGATTTTTTGCTCGCATAAACTGTACACACAAATGATTACCAGAGATTTCTTTTTAATTGTCTGCTTCGTGTGTGAGTGTGTAGAATGAAGACGCAAAATATGCAACAATTACGGCGCAAGCTTAAGTGAATTGAGAAATCGAAGAAGAAACAGATTCTACAATTGTTTCTGTGATAGATCCGACTATACGTGGAAGACATCTAAGCATAAGGGGGCGGTACACACAATTCAAAAGGATCGTTTACGAAGTTTTGTGCGCATTACGAGTTTATTTGGAAACAAAGGCTAGGAAGACGTGTGTTTACGTAGGTCAGTGTACAGTGCCCCACTCACTTCGGCGAACCACCGAAATGGCAGTCGGAAAATAATTGGATGAAACCACCACAAATTTATGCAGACTTAAAC